GTTTCTCAATACTTTGTTATATACCCTTTGTTGGCAATGACACAGGTCAAACGTTTTCTGTAAGTTTTCACAAAGTTTACACACTGTTGCTGGTATTTTGGCCCATTCCTCCATGCAGATCTCCTCTAGAGCAGTGATGTTTTGGGGCTGTCGCTGGGCAACACAGACTTTCAACTCCCTCCAAAGATTTTCTATGGGGTTGAGATCTGGAGACTGGCTAGGCCACTCCAGGACCTTGAAATGCTTCTTACGAAGCCACTCCTTCGTTGCCCGGGCGGTGTGTTTGGGATCATTGTCATGCTGAAAGACCCAGCCACGTATCATCTTCAATGCCCTTGCTGATGGAAGGAGGTTTTCACTCAAAATCTCACGATACATGGCCCCATCCATTCTTTCCTTTACACGGATCAGTCGCCCTGGTCCCTTTGCAGAAAAACAGCCCCAAAGCATGATGTTTCCACCCCCATGCTTCACAGTAGGTATGGTGTTCTTTGGATGCAACTCAGCATTCTTTGTCCTCCAAACACGACGAGTTGAGTTTTTACCAAAAAGTTATATTTTAGTTTCATCTGACCATATGACATTCTCCCAATCCTCTTCTGGATCATCCAAATGCACTCTAGCAAACTTCAGACGGGCCTGGACATGTACTGGCTTAAGCAGGGGGACACGTCTGGCACTGCAGGATTTGAGTCCCTGGCGGCGTAGTGTGTTACTGATGGTAGGCTTTGTTACTTTGGTCCCAGCTCTCTGCAGGTCATTCACTAGGTCCCCCCGTGTTGTTCTGGGATTTTTGCTCACCGTTCTTGTGATCATTTTGACCCCACGGGGTGAGATCTTGCGTGGAGCCCCAGATCGAGGGAAATTATCAGTGGTCTTGTATGTCTTCCATTTCCTAATAATTGCTCCCACAGTTGATTTCTTCTGCTTACCTATTGCAGATTCAGTCTTCCCATCCTGGTGCAGGTCTACAATTTTGTTTCTGGTGTCCTTTGACAGCTCTTTGGTCTTGGCCATAGTGGAGTTTGGAGTGTGACTGTTTGAGGTTGTGGACAGGTGTCTTTTATACTGATAACAAGTTCAAACAGGTGCCATTAATACAGGTAACGAGTGGAGGACAGAGGAGCCTCTTAAAGAAGAAGTTACAGGTCTGTGAGAGCCAGACATCTTGCTTGTTTGTAGGTGACCAAATACTTATTTTCCACCATAATTTGCAAATAAATTCATTAAAAATCCTACAATGTGATTTTCTGGAAAAAAAATTCTCAATTTGTCTGTCATAGTTGACGTGTACCTATGATGAAAATTACAGGCCTCTCTCATCTTTTTAAGTGGGAGAACTTGCACAATTGGTGGCTGACTAAATACTTTTTTCCCCACTGTATATGACTGTGTGAGAGTGAAGTGTTGCATCTCGCTCATCTCAATATCTCCGTTGCTGCTCGTGGCAACGTAATTTTGCTGAGTCTACTTATAGATCTTCCTAGAAGTCACAGAGGGTGCACGGAGGGACATGTCAAAATGCAGAATTTTGGCACTTAAGCATATTAGTCTTTATTCATATTAAAAATCAGATTTATTGAATTTTCCATGTGGTCTATATTAAAGGTCACTTCATTTAATATATCAGGCTTTGAAAATTGTATTGGGGAGAACTCTCCTCATTCACTACCATTGTGTAGCACCCACCTACCTAATATGGCTGAACCAAGCAGCCTGGTATTATTCTATTTTACACTTCACAGACTCCACCAGTCTTGAAAATGGGGAAGTTTAGTTCTAATGAACACAATTATAAACGCAACATGCAACTGTAGTGTCGAGTCAATGTTGCTAATTATTGCTGTTAAACAAAGGAGTCCGCTTATACTGAACTTTGATCATACGTTTTATTCATATCACAAGATTTCAGCATAAGTTTACAGATGTCATGATCACCCGGAGAGCAGTGTTTTCCAAATTACAACGTCCGCTCCGCTCTTCTTTGTTTAAACCCAGTACTTATAATTTTCCCAAGATATGGGTGGCTCCCTCTACTGTTCAATCCCCTGTCTACAACACACAGACTTCTCTGTCCCATCTGGGGTGTCACTACAAAATGGCTCCCTCTGAAACTGAATAAACATCCTTTCAGGTTCCACTTTAAACATTAGCAAAGTCATAATTCTTCATATACTACACAACAATTTCAAAGATTTTACTGAGTTACAGTACATATAAGGAAATCAGTCAATTGAAATAAATGAATTAGGCCCTAATCTATGGATTTCACATGACTGGGATTACAGATACGCATCTGTTGGTCACAGATACAGTACCTTTAAAAAATAACATTTAGGGGCGTGGATCAAAAAAGCAGTCAGTATCTGGTGTGATCACTATTTGCTTCATGCAGCGCGGCACATCTCCTTCGCATAGAGTTGATCAGGCTGTTGATTGTGGCCTGTGGAATGTTGTCCCACTCCTCTTCAATGGCTGTGCGGACTTGCTGGATATTGGCATGAACTGGAACACGCTGTCATACCCATCGATCCAGAGCATCCCAAACATGCTAAAACGGTGACGTCTAGTGAGTATTCAGGCCATGGAAGAACTGGGACATTTTCACCTTCCAGGAATTGTGTACAGATCCTTGCAACATGGGGCCATGCATTATCATGCTGAAACATGAGGTGATGGCGGTGGATGAATGGCACGACAATGGGCCTCAGGATCTCGTCACGGTATCTCTGTGCATTCAAATTGCCATCGATAAAATGCAATTGTTGTCGTTGTCCGTAGCTTATGCCTGCCCATACCATAACCCCACAGCCACCATGGGGAACTCTGTTCACAACGTTGACATCAGCAAACCGCTCATCCACAGAATGCCATACACGTGGTCTGCGGTTGTGAGGCCGGTTGGACATACTGCCAAATACTCTAAAACGACGTTGGAGGCGGCTTATGGTAGAGAAATGAACATTCAATTATATGGCAACATCTCTGGTGGACATTCCTGCAGTCAGCATGCCAATTGCACGCTCCCTCAAAACTTGAGACATCTGTGGCATTGTGTTGTGTGACAAAACTGCACATTTTAGAGTGGCCTTTAATTGTCCCCAGCACAAGGTGCACCTGTGTAATGAACATGCTGTTTAAACAGCTTCTTGATATGCCACACCTGTCTGGTGGATGGATTATCTTGGCAAAGGAAAAAATTTTCAGTAACATGGATGTAAACACATTTGTGTCAGAATTTGAGCTAAATAAGCTTTTTGTGAGTATGGAACATTTCTGGGATCTTTTATTTCAGCACATGAAACATGGGACCAACACTTTAGATGTTGCATTTATATTTTTGTTCGATGTACACTACCGTTCAAAAGTTTGGGGTCAATTTCCTTGTTTTGGAAAGAAAAGCAAATGTTTTGTCCATTACAATAACATCAAATTGATCAGAAATACAGTGTAGACATTGTTAATGTTGTAAATGGCTATTGTAGCTGGAAACGGCTGATTTTTTATGGAATATCTACAGTTGAAGTCTGAAGTTTACATACATCTTAGCCAAATACATTTAAACAATTCCTGACATTTAATCCTAGTAAACATTCCCTGTCTTAGGTCAGTTAGGATCACCTCTTCACTGTTGACGTTGAGACTGGTGTTTTGCCGGTACTATTTAATGAAGCTGCCAGTTGAGGACCTGTGAGGCGTCTGTTTCTCAAACTAGACACTCTAATGTATTTGTCCTCTTGCTCAGTTGTGCACCGGGGCCTCCCACTCCTCTTTCTATTCTGGTTATAGCCAGTTTGCGCTGTTCTGTAAAGGGAGTAGTACACAGATCTTCAGTTTCTTGGCAATTTCTCGCATGGAATAGCCTTCATTTCTCAGAACAAGAATAGACTGACGAGTTTCAGAAGAAAGTTATTTATTTCTGGCCATTTTTAGCCCATAATCGAACCAACAATTGCTGATGCTCCAGATACTCAACTAGTCTCAAGAAGGCCAGTTGTATTGCTTCTTTAATCAGCACAACAGTTTTCAGCTGTGCTAACATAATTGCAAAAGGGTTTTCTAATGATCAATTAGCCTTTTAAAATGATAAACTTGGATTAGCAAACACAACGTGCCATTGGAACACAGGACTGATGGTTGCTGATAATGGGCCTCTGTATGCCTATGTAGATATTCCATTAAAAATCAGCCGTTTCCAGCTACAATAGCCATTTACAACATTAACAATGTATTTCTGATCAATTTGGTGTTATTTTAATGGACAAAAAAAATGCATTTCTTTTGAAAACAAGGACATTTCTAAGTGACCCCAAACTTTTGAACGGTAGTGTATATGCAACTGCAATGGAAGGATGATTCACATAAACTGGTAGCCTGGTTTCTTATTTTCAAGTCAAGGAGGTTAAGTGATGTCGTTATCGAAGATTTGCCATCGTCCCTGTTCCTTGTCATAAAAATTATCTTACAGGCCCCATCACCATTAAAACTGAAGTGGCTTAAAAGTGCTATTTTTAGAGCTAAGTACGGAATTTTATCTCGCTCTCAGTGCAGAAACCTACTACATTACAAAGGACTAAAATACACTCCGGGTGCTAGGAATTGAATCCCTCTTTCCCCTTATCCTAAGCCCTTCTTCTGTGCACAGGCTTACCACAGTCTCCTAGGAATAAAACCTTCTACATTATAATGACATTTTTAATTACACTATGGTGCTAGGAATGTTACACCCACATATGTCCTTGCCATTAGCCCACCTTCTCTTCTCTCTACACTATGGTCCAAGGGATGGTAGGCTATACTACTACCACATGTCCTCTCCCCTGCCCTACCCCTCCATGCCCTCTAATCCCCTCTACTCTCCTAACCAGCCATGCACTGATCTCCCGCCCCCTCTCCTCTCCCTTTCACCTCCATGCCCTGATCTACCTCTCCTCTCCTCTAACCCTCAATGCTCTCTCCTCTCCCCTCTCTCCTCCCATGCTTCCTGACATTCCTGAAAGACTTCTACCTGTTGGTCAGTGGGCTACTGATGACCCAGATAACCAACAGTGTGTTTAACACCTCCCTGTTCACCCTGGTCATGCCACACAGCCTGCTAGCCTGGCAGAGGGTGCGGCTGGCACACGCTCTGGCATGCACCAAGGAGCAGTGGGCACATGTCTTCTCTAAGTACAACTCCAGTGAGGCCTGGGGTGTGGTGGACGTTTCTGGGAATGGGTTTTGTAATTTGTGTAACAACCTGTACATGCATGAATAACCTATGAGCTTGTGTTTAGGTGTGGTGTGCGGATAGATATTGTGATTTGTGTGCTACTGTACATGTTAATGATTACATGATTTCTGTGTAATAACGATAGATAGTTTGTCTTGAATTGATTGTTGCATAGTATGATAAATGGTAGAGTATGGTACGCACCAGCTGTGTGATGTATCGCCTAAGGCCCTGACCACAGATGACAGAGTTGTCCTGTTCTCTGGGGTGTATTGTAATTGGTCTCTGTTAATAAGTCGCTCTGGATAAGAGCGTCTGCTAAATGACTAAAATGTAAATGTAGAGCCACTGCAGCAGGAGACGACATAACGTGTTGCTTAGGAGGAACAGTACAGCTTGTTCTCACTGAGGGGACTGACTGGCCATAGCCTCTCTGTCTCTGGAACCTAAAATAACCAGAAAGTACAATCTGACTGACACCTGAGATGTGCACATGATCGTATATGTGCGAACTCTGCTCATCAGTGCCTAATTCAAACACCCTCTTTGACTTTTTATGGGTATCCACATGCTCCAGTGTAGTACATGTGTTCACCACAGTCCCAAGACATTACATACTGTATTTGAGGAGGTGACTAGTTTCTCCTGTCTTTCAAGGACCTGTAATAACCAGCAGATAATAAACAACAAACCAAGTTACCACAACTAATAACACAATTACATTTCCCCTCCCTCCCTCCTCAGGAACCTACAGTGAGGGAAAAAATTATTTGATCCCCTGCTGATTTTGAAAATTTGCCCACTGACAAAGAAATTATCAGTCTATAATTTTAATGGTAGGGTTATTTGAACAGTGAGAGACAGAATAACAACAAAAACATCCAGAAAAATGCATGTCAGAAATGTTATAAATTGATTTGCATTTTAATGAGGGAAATAAGTATTTGACCCCCTCTCAATCAGAAAGATTTCTGGCTCCCAGGTGTCTTTTATACAGGTAACGAGCTGAGATTAGGAGCACACTCTTAAAGGGAGTGCTCCTAATCTCATCTTTTTACCTGTATAAAAGACACCTGTCCACAGAAGCAATCAATCAATCAGATTCCAAACTCTCCACCATGGCCAAGACCAAAGAGCTCTCCAAGGATGTCAGGGACAAGATTGTAGACCTACACAAGGCTGGAATGGGCTACAAGACCATCGCCAAGCAGCTTGGTGAGAAGGTGACAACAGTGTGCGATTATTCGCAAATGGAAGAAACACAAAATAACTGTCAATCTCCCTCGGCCTGGGGCTCCATGCAAGATCTCACCTCGTGGAGTTACAATGATCATGAGAACGGTGAGGAATCAGCCCAGAACTACACAGGAGGATCTTGTCAATGATCTCAAGGCAACTGGGACCATAGTCACCAAGAAAACAATTGGTAACACACTACGCCGTGAAGGACTGAAATCCTGCAGCGCCCGCAAGGTCCCCCTGCTCAAGAAAGCACATATACAGGCCCGTCTGAAGTTTGCCAATGAACATCTGAATGATTCAGAGGACAACTGGGTGAAAGTGTTGTGGTCAGATGAGACCAAAATCGAGCTCTTTGGCATCAACTCAACTCGCCGTGTTTGGAGGAGGAGGAATGCTGCCTATGATCCCAAGAACACCATCCCCACCGTCAAACATGGAGGTGGAAACATTATGCTTTGGGGGTGATTTTCTGCAAGGGGACACGACAACTACACCGCATCAAAGGGATGATGGACGGGGCCATGTACGGTCAAATCTTGGGTGAGAACCTCCTTCCCTCAGCCAGGGCATTGAAAATGGGTTGTGGATGGATATTCCAGCATGACAATGACCGAAAACACACGGCCAAGGCAACAAAGGAGTGGCTCATGAAGAAGCACATTAAGGTCCTGGTGTGGCCTAGCCAGTCTCCAGACCTTAATCCCATAGAAAATCTGTGGAGGGAGCTGAAGGTTCGAGTTGCCAAACGTCAGCCTTGAAACCTTAATGACTTGGAGAAGATCTGCAAAGAGGAGTGGGACAAAATCCCTCCTGAGATGTGTGCAAACCTGGTGGCCAACTACAAGAAACGTCTGACCTCTGTGATTGCCAACAAGGGTTTTGCCACCAAGTACTAAATCATGTTTTGCAGAGGGGTCAAATACTTATTTCCCTCATTAAAATGCAAATCAATTTATAACATTTTTGACATGCGCTTTTCTGGATTTTCTTGTTGTTATTCTGTCTCTCACTGTTCAAATAAACCTACCATTAAAATTATAGACCGATCATGTCTTTGTCAGTGGGCAAACGTACAAAATCAGCAGGGGATCAAATACTTTTTTCCCTCACTGTATAACATCCAGTACATGGTGTTTGACCTGAGTAGGGTGTCATTGGAGAGGAGCATAACATTACATTACATTTTAGCAGACGCTCTTATTCAGAGCAACTTACAGTTTGTGAGTGCATACATTATTAAAAAAAATTAATACCAACTGAGCTACATCCCTGCCGGCCATTCCCTCCCCTACCCTGGACGACAGAGCCTGGATTCGAACCAGGATCTCTAGTGGCACAGCTACCACTGCATGCCTTAGACCACTGCGCCACTCGGATAGGGCTCTGACAGTGGTGGAGCAGATACCAGGGCTGGCGCTACACTCTGTCCAGACATAGGCCCTGTGACAGGGTAAAAGACAGTCATGTCAGTCTCTTCAATGATATAAAGCTAAACTGGTGGTATCTGATGGGTTTTATTCCATGCTAATTGACCCTCTGGGATTAATAAAGTTTTATAGGATTGAACTACAAATGCCTCCCCCAAATGTAATTAAATGAATGGCAAGCTGATATGTTGCTCAATTTAATTCCAAAGCCTGGGGGAGTAGGATAAATGTATAAGCCCATGTCAGCTGGGTACCAATAGTTGTATGACACTTAAATAAAATGTTTCAATTAATCAATCTGTCAATTAATCAATCTGTCTCTCCACATCTGATATGTCCCTACTTCACCCTTTCTACATTATTCTTGTCTTTCTCCTGGTCCCTCCACCAGACTACTGACCATTCTACAGTGTGCCCTTCCATGAAGACATCTACAACCTGAGTGGCTATGGGGTGATGTGGAGGAAGCATGCAGAGGACTTCTCCTACGACCTCTGTCCCAGAGCCAAGATCTTCCGCAGGGACCAGGCCAGGGTTAAAGACCTCGCCTCCATCAAGCACATCATGAGATACAACAGTGAGTGCTGCTATATGATTTTTATCAGACATGGATTGGTAACTCTAGTCCTTTTATACTTAGGCAGATACAGGCAACACCAGGCCTGGAGGACCGCTGGCCCTGTAGTGTCTGTAGGCTTTTGCTGCAGCCGTAATCTGGCTGGAAAATAACGGGCCTTTCATTCCGGTCTGCTCAAACTATCCCTATAAATAGAATGAGAATTCAGACAGAGATTAAATTATTCAAGGAGGATAGATCATTTTGCTGTGTGGATGTACTGTATTCTCATGTCTGCTGTTCTAACCTCTGAACTCAGTGCTTTTGAACTGTGTCTCCAGACTACAGGAAAGACCCGTACTCCCAGGGCCATCCCTGTAAAACCATCTGCTGTCGGAACGACCTGAGGCTGAAAAGGTTGGGTTTCAATTACCACCATGTCCAGTCCAGACATTCATTCACTCATTCATAAAATAACAATATCAAAGGGAACATGATGGCGCAATTTATAGTTTTACAGTACATCACAATACTAGAATAACATTCAAGTAAAACAAATTGGCACTTTTAATTCTCTCTCTCTCTCTCCTTCCCTCTCCATGGTAAACAGACTTCCACCTGGCCCAACAGTTAACAGCGGAGGCTGTGAACGGTCCCACCATTCAGGGGGGCCTGCTTCCGTTCTCCTGGAGCCACATCAACAGCACAGCCCACCAGGATCTGCCACAGTCATATACAGTGCATTCGGAAAGTATTCAGGCCCCTTGACTTTTTCCACATTTTGTTACGTTACAGCCTTATTCTAAAATGGATTAAATAAATAAAAATCCTCATCAATCTACACACAATACCCCATAATGACAAAGCAAAAACAGGTTTTTAGATGTTTTTACATAAGTATTCAGACCCTTTGCTATGAGACTGAAAATTGAGCTCCGGTGCATCCTGTTTCCATTGATCATCCTTGAGATTTCTACAACTTGATTGGAGTCCACCTGTGGTAAATTCAATTGATTGGACATGATTTGGAAAGGCACACACCTGTCTATATAAGGGCTCACAGTTGACAGTGCATGTCAGAACAAAAACCAAGCCATGAGGTCGAAGGAATTGTCCGTAGAGCTCCGAGACAGGATTGTGTCGAGGCACAGATCTGGGGAAGGGTACCAAAACCATTCTGCAGCATTGAAGGTCCCCAAGAACACAGTGACCTCCATCATTCTTAAATGGAAGTAGTTTGGAACCACCAAGATTCTTCCTTGAGCAAACTGAGCAATCAAGGGGAAGGGCCTTGGTCAGGGAGGTGACCAAGAACCCAATGGTCACTCTTACAGAGCTCCAGAGTTCCTCTGTGGATATGGTTGTCCTTCTGGAAGGTTATCCCGTCTCTGCAGCACTCCACCAATCAGGCCTTTATGGTAGAATGGCCAGACGGAAGCCACTCCTCAGTAAAAGGCACATGATAGCTCACTTGGAGTTTGCCAAAAGGCACCTAAAGACTCTCAGACCATGAGAAACACGATTCTCTGGTCTGATGAAACCAAGATTGAACTAGTCTCTGAATGTCCTTGAGTGGCCCAGCTAGAGCCTGGACTTGAACCCGATCAGACATCTCTGCAGAGACCTGAAAATAGCTGTGCAGCGATGCTCCCCATCCAACCTGACAGAGCTTGAGAGGATCTGCAGAGAAGAGTGGGAGAAACTCCCCAAATACAGGTGTGCCAAGCTTGTAGCGTCATACCCAAGAAGACTCGAGGCTCTAATCGCTGCCAAAGGTACTTCAACAAAGTACTGACTAAAGAGTCTGAATACTTATGTAAATGTGATATTTCAGTTTTTCTATTTTTATAAATTTGCTCAAATTTATAAAAAACTGTTTTTGCTTTGTCATTATGGGGTATTGTGTGTAGATTGATGAGGGAAAAAAGCAATTTAATAAATTTTAGAACAAGACTGTAACGTAACAAAATGTGTAACAAGTAGAGGGCTCTGAATACTTTCCGAATGCACTGTAACTTCAGCTTCATCCCCATGAAGCCAACCCTGTCACTATACCAGCCATGAGAGGGGTCTGGGGTCTGGGTTGTGTTCATTAGGGCAAACAACAGATTCTTTTTTTTGCAATGGAAGATGAAAATAAGGGTTTCTTATTGGACAAGTCCAGGTAGTCCCTTTCTATTGCATTCAGTTTTCTTCTATTTGGTGCCTAATGAACATAACCCAGGGGACTGAAAGCCCAGAGGGGCTGGGGAGTAGGGAGTAGGATGAAGTGGCCACTAGATACAGATCCAAGGTCAATTTTGTGGTTTAAGTTGTTAGCAAAACTGTTAGATGCACTGAAAATACAGTATCTTTATTATGTGATTGTGTCTTTATGTTTGTATAATGTGTGTTCATTTGTGTGTCTCCTTTGCCAAGATAATCCATCCACCTGACAGGTGTGGCATATCAAGAAGCTGATTAAACAGCATGATCATTACACAGGTGCACCTTGTGCTGGGGACAATAAAACACCACTCTAAAATGTGCAGTTTTGTCACACAACACAATGCCACAGACGTCTCAAGTTTTGAGGGAGCGTGCAATTGGCTTGCTGACTGCAGGAATGTCCACCAGAGCTGTTGCCAGAGAATTGAATGAATTTCTCTACCATAAGCTGCCTCAAACGTCGTTTTGGAGAACTTGGCAGTACTTCCAACCGGCCTCACATCCAGGACCTCCACATCTGGCTTCTTCACCTGCGGGATCGTCTGAGACCAGCCACCTGGACAGCTAATGAAACTGTGGGTTTGCACAACCAAATAATTTCTGCACGAACTGTCAGAAACTGTTGATTTGCACAACCGAATAATTTCTGCACGAACTGTCAGAAACCGTCTCAGGGAAGCTCATATGCGTGCTCGTCGTCCTCACCAGGGTCTTGACCTGATTGCAGTTCAGCGTCATAACCGACTTCAGTGGGCAAATGCTCACCTTCGATGGCCACTGGCACACTGGAGAAGTGTGCTCTTCACGGAAGAATCCTGGTTTCAACTGTACAGGGCAGATGGCAGACGTGTGGGCGAGTGGTTTGCTGATGTCAACATTGTGAACAGAGTGCCCCATTGTGGCGGTGGGTTATGGTATGGGCAGGCATAAGCTACGGACAGCAAACACAATTGCATTTTATCGATGGCAATTTGAATGCACAGAGATACCGTGATGAGATCCTGAGGCCCATTGTCGTGCCATTCATCCGCCGCCATCACCTCATGTTTCAGCATGATAATGCATGGCCCCATGTCGCAAGGATCTGTGAAACATTTCTGGAATCTGAACATTTCCCAGTTCTTCCATGGCCTCCATACTCACCAGACATGTCACCCATTGAGCATGTTTGGGATGCTCTGGATCGACATGTACGACAGCGTGTTCCAGTTCCCGCCAATATCCACCAACTTCACATTGAAGAGGAGTGGGGCAATATTCCACAGGCCACAATCAACAGCCTGATCAACTCTATGCAAACGATATGTGTCGCGCTACATGAGGCAAGTGGTGGTCACACTAGATACTGACTGGTTTTCTGGTCTACACCCTTACCTTTTTTTTTTTTTAAGGTACCTGTGACCAACAGATGCATATCTGTAATCCCAGTCATGTAAAATCCATAGATTAGGGCCTAATGAATTTATTTAAATTGACTGATTTCCTTATATGAACTGTAACTTAGTAAAATATTTGAAATTGTTGCATGTTGTGTTTATATTTTTGTCTGTACAATCTAATAATGATATTCTCAGGTGTGATTTTTTTTGTGAGTCATTTGTGAACCTTTTGATGAAAGGTGTGTATAGAACTAATAACAATCAGCCCAATCCTGTGTAATTAAACTACATGTATTACACTTTGTCTAATAAAAAATGTATGTTTCTCACTCCCCACAATTTACACAACAATGCAGTTGAAAATAATTGCAGTCTTGGCTCAGATAGTTATTGAATAATAAGTTATTGAATAATATTAGGCTATCATACAATTTTAATATTATTTTGACATGATTGTCTTTAGGATACAAGGAGTGGACGTTATCGTCACAGATTTTAGAACTACAAGATCCACAGTTCTTGGCGCACGGCAACAGCTTGGACATGACGCTCCGGTTGCTTAACCGGGGGAAGACTAGGCGGAGCTCGAGTCAACGCGGTACACTGTTGTCGTAGAGAGACGTTGTTGAAAAAGAGAGGAAGCTGAAACGGCAGTTGGTACGCACGCTATTGCTTGTTAACGTTGCTTGCATCCATTGCTATTTCCTAATGGCAACGGAGGATAAAAGGAAATCGGTGCCGCAGGCTGAATCAGAAGTCGGTTCGTTACCGACACCTCAGGGCTACAATAATAATAATAACAACAACAACAACAACAATAATAACAAAGATAGCGAGGGAAGCGAGAATACGAGCACGGCAACTTCGAGCACTACCGCATCGAGCGGGACGGGAACGCACAGCATCGGGAACGGCTCTGGAGTCAACCCTACAGTGGGAAATAACGGGAAATGGGTCCGATTGAACGTCGGCGGCACAGTATTCCTCACAACGCGGCATACCCTACTCAAAGAACAAACTTCCTTTCTCTATCGGCTCTGTCAACAACAGGACTTACATTCGGACACGGTAAGGCAAGAATTGATCAAGCGCTTGGCTTCGATCAAGATAACACATCAGAATTAATTAATTTAATGAATGAATGGATGGATGGACGAATTAATTACATTTGAATGGTACCACTAGATATGGCTCTGTGGTACCCATACCCGCCACCAGATATGGCTCTACCCATTACCCAGTGAGTCAGATGGATGTGCACTGGCTGCCTCATTCAGACCTGTGCGGAGGGTGTATTCTGGCAGGACAGAGGGAGAGGAGGGTGGTGGGGTAGTAGAAAAATGTCTATAGATAGGTTGGCAATATGTGACTGATCTGTTTGTGAAATACAGTACATCACTAATGCAGTAAGCCTATAATAGGATTTATTTCAGAGTGTCTGTCTCTTTCTGTCTGTGTGTGATCACAGATGGTCTTGTCCCTTGGCCACGAACATAGCCCTATTGTAGGCTGCTATAATTGATTTGTCCTCCTGCACCACTGGTTACAGTGAGTAGATAAGGTGCATTATCTTTGTGTGTGACCTTCATTAATGCACCAGTGTCCATTAGTCTTGTTCCTACTCTCTCTCTTTCTCTCTCTCCCTCTCTCTTTCTCTCTTTCCATAGAAGAAGTAAAGAGATTGTATGTGTGACTGTCTCTGTGTTGAGACAAATAACACCTCTGTTTGCCTAACATATATTTCCTGTGGGACCCAGTGAGGCCCCCATAGGGACCTGGCACAAGGCTAGGCACACTGTGTAGTTCCTTGGGTAAACTATTAACACACCAGATGAGGGTTGACTTTTCCTGACCGGAGGCAGTGTGGCTGAACAGACAGGCCAGGATGACAGGAGATAGAGAGACAGAGAAGCTCATTTTTAATCTTCACCCTCTGTGTGTGTGTGTGCACCTCTGTCTTTGTCCTCCTGCACCACTGGCCACAGTGAATAGATAAAGCGCAAAATCTTTGTGTATGACCTTCATTCCTCCTCTCTCCCCCCTTTCTCTTGCTCTCTCTCTCTCTTGCTCTATCACTCTCTCTCTCTCTTTCTCTATGCCTCTAGTCAAACCCCATCCACACACTCTCCCTCCTCCTCTCCTCTGTTATCTCTCAACCCTTCTAGGGACCCTCTCTCCTTTCTCCCCTCTTTCTTTTCATCCCCTTCTCACACTTGAGTCATCTTATTCCTCCCAGGCTACTGTCATGTCATTGCCTGTTAACTAACTGTTTCTAAAACAATACTAACAGTCTACTTATTTTTCTCCCCACTAATTTACTGTTAGTCCCTTCTTGTAACCTGGCTTGTGATGAAAGGCCCCATAGAGTCCTCAGGAATACAGAGTACCCAGTCCAACATTATATCCACAGAAGAAGTACTAGGCCACTAGCTGAATTTTTCTATTTCCCAGGTGTCTGTCTGATTCTATCTTCACAGGAGCTACAGTTGAAGTCTGAGTTTACATACACTTAGGTTGGGGTCATTAAAAGTTGTTTTTCAACCACTCCACAAATTTCTTGTTAACAAACTATCGTGTTGGCAAGTCGGTTAGGACATCTACTTTGTGCATGACACAAGTAATTTTTCCAACAATTGGTTACAGACAGATTAATTCACTTATAATTCACTGTATCACAATTCCAGTGGGTCAGAAGTTTACATACACTAAGTTGACTGTGTCTTTAAACAGCTTGGAAAATTCCAGAAAATTATGTCATGGCTTTAGAAGCTTCAGATAGGCTAATTGACATCATTTGAGTCAATTGGAGGTGTACCTGCTGATGTATTTCAAGGCCGACCTTCAAACTCAGTGCCTCTTTGCTTGACATCATGCGAAAATCAAAAGAAATCAATCAAGACCTCAAAAAAAAATGTGTAGACCTCCACAAGTCTGGTTCCTCCTTGGGAGCAATTTCCAAACGCCTGAAGGTACCACGTTCATCTGTACAAACAATAGTACGCAAGTATAAACACCATGGGACCACGCAGCCGTCATACCGCTCAGGAAGGAGACACGTTCTGTCTCCTAGAGATGAACGTACTTTGGTGCGAAAAGTGCAAATCAATCCCAGAACAACAGCAAAGGACCTTGTGAAGATGCTGGAGGAAACGGGTACAAAAGTATCTATATCCACAGTAAAACGAGTCCTATATCGACATAACCTGAAAGGCCGCTCAGCAAGGAAGAAGCCACTGCTCCAAAACCGCCATAAAAAAGCCAGACTATGGTTTGCAACTGCACATGGGGACAAAGATCGTACTTTTTGGAGAAATGTCCTCTGGTCTGATGAAACAAAAATATAACTGTTTGGCCATAATGACCATCGTTATGTTTGGAGGAAAAAGGGGGTACTTGCAAGCCGAAGAACACCATCCCAACCGTGAAGCACGGGGGTGGCAGCATCATGCTGTGGGGGTGCTTTGCTGCAGGAGGGACTGGTGCACTTCACAAAATAGATGGCTTCATTAGGAAGGAAAATTATGTGGATATATTGAAGCAACATCTCAAGACATCAGTCAAGAAGTTAAAGCTTGGTCGCAAATGGGTCTTCCAAAATGACAATGACCCCAAGCATACTTCCAAAGTTGTGGCAAAATGGCTTAAGGACAACAAAGTCAAGGTATTGAAGTGGCCATCACAAAGCCCTGACCTCAATCCAATAGAACATTTGTGGGCAGAACTGAAAAAGCGTGTGCGAGCAAGGAGGCCTACTAACCTGACTCAGTTACACCAGCTCTGTCAGGAGGAATGGGCAAAAAATTCACCCAACTTATTGTGGGATGCTGGTGGAAGGCTACCCAAAACATTTGACCCAAGTTAAATAATTTAAAGGAAATGCTACCAAATACTAATTGAGTGTATGTAAACTTCTGACCCACTGGGAATGTGATGAAATAAATAAAACCTGAAATAAATAATTCTCTCTACTATTATTCTAACATTTCACATTCTTAAAATAAAGTGGTGATCCTAACTGACCTAAGACAGGGAATTTTTACTAGGATTAAATGTCAGAAATTGTGAAAAACTGAGTTTAAATGTATTTGGCTAAGGTGTATGTAAACTTCCGACTTCAACTGTATATTGTAATCCGCTGGTTTGCGCTCCAGTCTGCAGAGGGTTGCCGCAGTGTTTAGAACACACCAACTGTGTATTACTATTTTAATAAGATTACGGTCTGTCTGGCACCTACAGGCTTGCCACCCCTCTCTGTCCCAAAATACCCCCTGGTGCCTGCTGTCACCCCTGCCCTGACTCCCACTCCCTTCTGACCTCCTCCTGTTCCTTCCTGTCCTCCTCCTGCCCCTCTTTCACTCATTATAATCTCCTCCTGTCCCTTCCTCCTCCTGCTCCGGCAAGGTGAAAAAATATGCTGTTCTGCTCTTTAGCAAGGCAGTTAAACACAACAACAACTGTTCCCCGGGTGTCGATGACATAGATGTCGATTAAATATATTTTTCTTCTGATGATCATATCTAAATCTGAAATGTCAAAGACTACAAATTGCAAGAACAGATCACTCTGGAGTCAGATATTTACAGAATGTGTAATTTAGTCTATAAAACAAGTGAGAATTAGGCAGGTCTGATGCAGCAGTGTTGTTGGCAGAGTGATTAGGAGTTTACAATGTTAGAGGCTGGTGTTATGTGCTCTTGTGTGTGCTATTTGACTCCCACAATCCAAAATAGACCGAGCACTGGAGTAGCACAGTTGCAGATCTGTATGTGCTTCAGCCAACTTTATCGTGTATGTTGTCATACATGAACATGATAAAGGCAGTTCACTAAAACACTTGCAGTTCTGTGACGGGCAATTAAAAAACCATTGATTTCAAAGTTGAACAAACCCTACAACTCTATGCACAAGCACTACTTTTTAACAATTTACACATAACATTTTACAAAAACACATTTACTGAAAGAACTGTGCAAATGCAAAGTTTGGTAACAGAATTTCGATAAAGTCTCCCTCCGTTTTTTATGTGTCCACGTTTGACAAAATCTGTTAAATATCTGCTCCGAATTAACATTCAACTATGTCTGCAGAAATAATGGGGTGTCAGCTATGACATGACACATTGAATTAGAAAAAATCTATTTTGGTTATTGAACTACATTAAGTGAAGTGGATTTACACCCGGTAACAGAATTGCAGTAACGGAATTTCATCAAGGGTCTACACAGTATTGCATAATTATGGATATTAATGTAATTATCTTCATGGTGATGTATCCTAAATAGGTACACAAAGGTATACATTTGCAATATCCTCCTTCGCATATTTGGGTATTATTCTACACATTGGTTATTTTAATGAGCTCTGCCCCCAAACAAGACCAAACTTGGTTGGTCCAGAACGGACCAAATCTGAACCAATCATAGACTTCTATGTTTCACAAGTTTGGACATCAAAGTACAGCTCAGTAGAGTACAGTATAGCACAGAACAGTACAGTACAGTACACTAGAGTTCAGTACAGTAGAGTAGAGTTGAGTTCAGTACAGTACAATATAGTACAGTAGAGTACAGTAAAGTTGAATATAGCACTCAACTCTAGTGTGCTCTACTGTGTATTGTACTGAACTCTACTGTACATAACTATACTCTACTGTTCTTTACTGTACTGTGCAGTACTGTACTGAACTATACTCTTATTTACTGTACTGTACTGGACTCTACTGTGCTGTCCAAACGTGTGACCCAACTGTGGTTTGTGACTACTATGATTTCCCATTGTAGCCAATTCAATTGCAGAAATTCTGTTTCCGATTTTTAGGGAAATTCTGAGTTTTAATCACTTAATAATTCATAAACAAAATCGATATAATTAAAAACACTATAACTAATTTATAGGTCTACAGTGGGGAGAACAAGTATTTGATACACTGCCGATTTTGCAGGTTTTCCTACTTACAAAGCATGTAGAGGTCTGTAATTTTTATCATAGGTACACTTCAACTGTGAGAGACGGAATCTAAAACAAAAATCCAGAAAATCACATTGTATGATTTTTAAGTAATTCATTTGCAATTTATTGCATGACATAAGTATTTGATACATCAGAAAAGCAGAACTTTAATATTTGGTACAGAAACCTTTGTTTGCAATTACAGAGATCATACGTTTCCTGTAGGTCTTGACCAGGTTTGCACACACTGCAGCAGGGATTTTGGCCCACTCCTCCTTACAGACCTTCTCCAGATCCTTCAGGTTTCGGGGCTATCGCTGGGCAATACGGACTTTCAGTTCCCTCCAAAGATTTTCTATTGGGTTCAGGTCTGGAGACTGGCTAGGCCACTCCAGGACCTTGAGATGCTTCTTACGGAGCCTCTCCTTAGTTGCCCTGGCTGTGTGTTTCGGGTCGTTGTCATGCTGGAAGACCCAGCCACGACCCATCTTCAATGCTCTTACTGAGGGAAGGAGGTTGTTGGCCAAGATCTCGCGATACATGGCCCCATCCATCCTCCCCTCAATACGGTGCAGTCGTCCTGTCCCCTTTGCAGAAAAGCATCCCCAAAGAATGATGTTTCCACCTCCATGCTTCACGGTTGGGATGGTGTTCTTGTTCTAGCCAATTCAATTGCAGAAATTCTGTTTCCGATTTTTAGGGAAATTCTGAGTTTTAATCACTTAATAATTCATAAACAAAATCGATATAATTAAAAACACTATAACTAATTTATAGGTCTACAGTGGGGAGAACAAGTATTTGATACACTGCCGATTTTGCAGGTTTTCCTACTTACAAAGCATGTAGAGGTCTGTAATTTTTATCATAGGTACACTTCAACTGTGAGAGACGGAATCTAAAACAAAAATCCAGAAAATCACATTGTATGAATTTTAAGTAATTCATTTGCATTTTATTGCATGACATAAGTATTTGATCACCTACCAACCAGTAAGAATTCCAGCTCTCACAGACCTGTTAGTTTTTCTTTAAGAAGCCCTCCTGTTCTCCACTCATTACCTGTATTAACTGCACCTGTTTGAACTCGTTACCTGTATAAAAGACACCTGTCCTCACACTCAATCAAACAGACTCCAACCTCTCCACAATGCCCAAGACCAGAGAGCTGTGTAAGGACATCAGGGATAAAATTGTAGACCTGCACAAGGCTGGGATGGGCTACAGGACAATAGGCAAGCAGGTTGGTGAGAAGGCAACAACTGTTGGCGCAATTATTAGAAAATGGAAGAAGTTCAAGATGACGGTCAATCACCCTCGGTCTGGGGCTCCATGCAAGATCTCACCTCGTGGGGCATCAATGATCATGAGGAAGGTGAGGGATCAGCCCAGAACTACACGGCAGGACCTGGTCAATGACCTGAAGAGAGCTGGGACCACAGTATCAAAGAAAACCATTAGTAACACACTACGCCGTCATGGATTAAAATCCTGCAGCGCACGCAAGGTCCCCCTGCTCAAGCCAGCGCATGTCCAGGCCCGTCTGAAGTTTGCCAATGACAATCTGGATGATCCAGAGGAGGAATGGGAGAAAGTCATGTGGTCTGATGAGACAAAAATAGAGCTTTTTGGTCTAAACTCCACTCGCCGTGTTTGGAGGAAGAAGAAGGATGAGTACAAACCCAAGAACACCATCCCAACCGTGAAGCATGGAGGTGGAAACATCATTCTTTGGGGATGCTTTTCTGCAAAGGGGACAGGACGACTGCACCGTATTGAGCGGAGGATGGATGGGGCCATGTATCGCGAGATCTTGGCCAACAACCTCCTTCCCTCAGTAAGAGCATTGAAGATGGGTCGTGGCTGGGTCTTCCAGCATGACAACGACCCGAAACACACAGCCAGGGCAACTAAGGAGTGGCTCCGTAAGAAGCATCTCAAGGTCCTGGAGTGGCCTAGCCAGTCTCCAGACCTGAACCCAATAGAAAATCTTTGGAGGGAACTGAAAGTCCGTATTGCCCAGCGATAGCCCCGAATCCTGAAGGATCTGGAGAAGGTCTGTAAGGAGGAGTGGGCCAAAATCCCTGCTGCAGTGTGTGCAAACCTGGTCAAGACCTACAGGAAACGTATGATCTCTGTAATTGCAAACAAAGGTTTCTGTACCAAATATTAAGTTCTGCTTTTCTGATGTATCAAATACTTATGTCATGCAATAAATTGCAAATGAATTACTTAAAAATCATACAATGTGATTTTCTGGATTTTTGTTTTAGATTCCGTCTCTCACAGTTGAAGTGTACCTATGATAAAAATTACAGACCTCTACATGCTTTGTAAGTAGGAAAACCTGCAAAATCGGCATTGTATCAAATGCTTGTTCTCCCCACTGTTCCTTCTGTCAACTTTAATTATCCTTCCTCTTCATGAGGGAGAGAAATTAGAAAATATCTGAAAGATATGTGGGTTTTTGGTAAAGGAATTTCAAGGCACAAGGCAATGTTTCTTAAAGTTACAGAAGGCAGAAAAATGTATCCAAAACTAAATATAAGTGTTGATATTACTCTTTACTTCAACATTATTGTGTTTCGATGCATTTCTTATACCTTTTTACGATTTTATCTCGTTGATGTTTTCTAAGACCCCTTTTCCATCTGTTTGACCAGAAATCAAAGCCTTTGCTTATTCTTAATTTTTTGGATGGAAAATGGTTGAAAATGTATATAAATAAAATACTCTTAGCTTTCATTTGACACTCAATTTGATATGCTCCTATGAACTTCACATGTTGGTGCTCATGAGTCCTTTTACATAGAAATGACCTGACCAGACTAGCATTAGGCTGGTTCAGTTTGGTCGCAGCCAGTGTTTTCACCCCAGAAGAGATTGTATGTGTGTCTGTGTCTTTCTCTGTTTCTGTGTTGAGACAAATAACACCTCTGATTGCCTAACAGATATTTCCTGTGGGACCCAGTGAGGCCCCCATAGGGACCTGGCACAAGGCTAGGCACACTGTGTAGTTCCCCTTTCACCCAGCACCTCTACCTCTGCCCCTGTCTAGACCCCTTTCCCCCAGCACCTCTCCCTGTGCCCTTGTCTGTCCCCTGTATCTCTCTCTTTCTGTCTTTCTCTCCCTCCCCCTGTTTGAGTCCTCCTCTCTCCAGTGTCTGCCAGCTCTCATCTCCAATCGATTCTCATTTTCTCTGCCTGGCTTCCCAGTCCCTTCTTCATTCAGCTGAGTGCCTCACATACCATCCATCCCTCTGCCCATCTCTTTCTCTCTCTCGCTCTATCTCTCACTCTGATCTGCAGGCTCTCATTCCTTTCCCTCCATTCCTATAATTTTGCAGCACTTCTTCGATTCAGATTCAGAGCTGTGCCCTCTATTAACACAGCCTCTCCATCCCTCCCCTCTTCTCCATCCCTCCATCCCCCTCTCCATCTGCTCCTTAATCAGCTACTTCTCTCTTTCTGCTCCTCTGCTATCTAGCTCGCTCCATTCTGCCACTTGTTCCTGTTCCTGAATCCCTCACTCCCATTCTCATCTTTCTGAACTCCTTGGCCTCTCTGTCCTCCTCCTTCTCATCTCTCTCTACCTCCCTCTCTCTGTCTAGTGTCTCTTCGTCTCTGTGTTTGAAAATGGGTGCCTGGGGCTGGTTTAGTAATCGGCATGCAGGGAGCGCTTTATGGAGATGCTGTAAAGGCTAGGCACTGGCATGCCGTCAGCCAAGAAAGGGCCAAGCCATGTGAATGTAACAGGCTCTCTTTTCTCGCCCCTCTCTCCATATCTCTCTGCATCTCTCTCTCTCTTCACTTTCAGTCCCTCTCTATCTATCCCCTCTCTCTCCATCTCTCTATCCCCCCCTCCACACTCTCTCTGAATCTCTCTCACACTGGCTGTAATATAGAACCACTAGGCTCTAATAGTGCCGCTCTATCACTCTGAAAAGAGGACTTTTCTGTTACAGTGTGTAACAAGTAATCGCAAGGGGGTTTCCAAGCATAGATCTTGACCAAAACCCAATAGAATAGAATAGCACAATAGAATAGCACTTAATATTGATCTCATATTCATACCTTTATTAATTCTTATGGTCGTTCTCTCCCTTCCTCTGTTGTAGGACGAGACAGGGGCCTATGTGATAGACAGAGACCCCACCTACTTTGGCCCCATCCTTAACTACCTGCGACACGGCAAACTGGTCTACAACAAGGAGCTGGCTGAAGAAGGTACTAGATTACTTTTTGTATTTTTAACATGTATTAGATTGTGCGTTATGATGCCATTATAATGTATTGTAAGACTTGTAATTAGAATGTAATAACACTTTGATTGAACGTGTGCGTGTGTGTGTGTGTTGTGCTCTCTCCCAGGTGTGTTGGAGGAGGCTGAGTTCTACAACATCACTCCTCTGATCAAACTGATCAAGGAGAGGATCCTGGAGCGGGACTGTAAAGTCACACAGGTCACACACACACACACACACACACACACACACAAAAACATACACATACACACACACTCTGCTTTGTTTTTGTGAATTTTCAGTACAATTTCTTTCTTCATAATCCTATTTTCCCTAAACCTAAACTTAACCTAACCTTAACCCTAACCTTAACTCCTAACCCTAACCCTAAACCTAACCTTAACCCAAATCCTAAACCTTTAAGCCTAAAATACTATTTGAACAAATTCAGGGCATGAAAAACATCATGACTTTTCAAAATTGTTCTTGTTTTCCTACCTTGTCAAGACATTCTGGTAACTTGTCAGGACATTGTGGTCCTGATAAGGTAGGGAAACATGAACACACACACACACACACACACACACACACACAATACATAAAATACAGGGATATACACAAATACAAGATGGCTACAGGTCTGCTAAAACAAAAACAGACTTGTGCATGTGCCAAGCAGAAAGACTGTTCAGCCATGTGTTTCACTCTTTCTGTATTTTCTAGTTATTTTCAGTATATTTCACCCATCCTGTCTATGATTTCCGTTATGTAACTTTCAATCTTCCTCCTACTCTCTCTGTATTATACGCTTTACTGTACCCTCCATCTCTGCCCTTCGGCTACACACACGCTCATGCACACACACACACACACACACACACTGTGGGCTGTGGGGGTACGTGCTACACCACTGCTTATAACTACATCTAAGATGTGTCAAATAAATTATATCAATCTCAGGGCACCAGCTATGCATTTGGCTAGTGGCTAGATGTAAAAATCAAGCTTCTTGGTTACAGCAGACTTTCAATCCCCTCCTGGATCAATACCCTCCTGGATGCGAACATAAAAAAAAAGGTTTCCTTTTTTTAATGTATTTTTTATTATTATTATTAAACAGCGCCCCTTGTGTGCACTTCTGGTAGTACCATATACCCCAGTATGGTACAGAAACGTTATGGTCCCAGTATGGTACAGAAACGGTTTGACTGTATGAAAATCTGGATACCACCCAACCCTAACACTCACTCTCACTATCATTCTTCTTCCAAACATCACTACCTCTTGCTAACCTCACGCTCTCCCTGTCCTCTTTCTCTCTGCTAACAAATGCCTTTTCTTTCCTTTCCTTACAAACATCTCATCTTCTCCAACTATTGGTTACTCTCTCAATGTCTGTTTTCTCTTCTGTCTCGTTCTCTCCCTTCCTAACACCTCTCTCTCTCTCTCTCTCTCTCTCTCTCTCTCTCTCTCTCTCTCTCTCTCTCTCATTCTACAGCCAAACACCTTTCCCACCTACCCATATCTGTACATTCCCTCCCTCTCTTCCTCCTCCTCCTCCTCCTTCTCCTCTCTCTACACCCTCTCTCCATCCATCAGCAGGTGCCTCCTAAACATGTGTACCGGGTGCTGCAGTGCCAGGAGGAGGAGCTGACCCAGATGGTTTCCACCATGTCAGACGGCTGGAAGTTTGAGCAGGTCAGCGTGCGCACCTGCAGAAAGCCCCGCACCGGACTGCTCTGGACTGTGGGTTGGACTCACGCTGCTACCCCTCCCAACCAATAAACCCCTTTCCTGCTCTTTGTTAGCCAATCAGAGCCTCAGAGTCAGACCAATTAGACCAATCAGAGACCAAGGCCCAGTCCCAATCTGCTCATAAAAACGACCTCCATTTCACATTTCCTTCCCCTCAGAAGAAGACTGATCTAAATGGACACGTTGCAGACACAGACCAGTGATCATAAGGGGAAGGAGATGCAAAAAGGAAGCAGAGCTAAGGAAGCTTCAATGGAAGCTACCATATGTTGGCACATCGCCAGTTCAGTAAAGTGTTTTGAGTAATAATGTAATGCTAAACATTGGCATCACTGCTTTAGGGTGTACAGTTCAGTCTCACTGCCCACAGTAGAGTTGTAGTTGACATGTAGTGCTGCTAGGTTGTCCTTACCCTCTGTCCCACCTCCCTACATGAGCATCCATGGGTTTACCTGCTGTGATACGGGGCCACCTTTCTTTCTCTCTCCATCTTTCTCCCTCTTTCTCTCTCTTTGTCTCTGTCTCTGATAGATGGTAAACATTGGTTCGTCGTATAGCTATGGGACAGAGGACCAGGCAGAGTTTCTGTGTGTGGTGTCCAAGGAGCTACACACACCTGGCTCAGGCCTGGGCACCGAACAGAGCCACAAGACCAAGGTGAGACTGACACACAGGAAACATATATATACACACACACACACAGACACACACAGACACACACAGGAGCACGTGCAGATGCGTCAGAGGGATATACTCATACATCGTACATCACACACCATTCACCATTCACTTATCACCACCATTCACTTCCACAAAGGTCTGAAGTAGCAGGATACGGATCTGTCACTGTGTGTCTCCATGGGACATTTCTTCTCATCCAAGATGATCTGAGTATCCTTTGATCTTAGTGTCTGCATTTTCCACTCAAACATTCAAAATGTCACACACACATCTCCCAAATGTCATTCACAAGCACATTCACATTCACTCCATCATCCACACTTCTTCCCTCTCCCTCTCTCTCTCTCTCTCTCTCTCTCTCTCGCTCTCTCTCTTACTCTCTCACTCTCTCTCTCTCTCTCCCTCTCCCTGATACTCAATCTGTTCATTCTTTTTTGTTGTTGTCGTGCTGTCTCATTTTTTTATTCTCCGTCCTTTTAATCGAGTGAAGGCTTCAGAGGTGCAGCAGGAGAAAGGAGGAGCGCAGGATGAGGTGGAGGGAGGAGAGAGAAATACCACCCCGAATGAGTGGATAAGGGAATGACAGTCTTGTGTCAGTGTTCCAAAGACATGAATGGGTGAGGATCCATGCTAGTGTTGGGTAGCAGCGGTAGTAGACTGTGTAATCAAAAGGGATCCAGGGCTGTTCCACAGCATTGCATTGCCTTGCCCCAAACTCCATAGTGTATTCAAAGGCCAAGGAGAGACTGTAACTTTTATTAAAGGTTTTTTTTGATTTACAAATATGTAGAGAGAAAAAAATAGGCCTTGCACTTTTGCTCCCCATCTAAAATAGTTGGCTTCTATTTGTTTAAAACACCAATTGTGATGCCGGAGAGCTCAATACTGCTCTGGGGCCATTGTGTCCTGCCTCGGAAATGATCTGATCAGCAGCATTACCCAGCTGGTCTGATGATGAGCTAGTCTCACTAGGCAGGCGGGTTGCCTCTCACATTAACAATGCCCTAGATCTGGGATTTCCGAGACTAATGATGAGCTGACGCTGCTGTGCTGCCATTGATCCAAGCCGACACCTAAAGGTCTCTCATTACCAATGCAATGACATGGAATAGCCCTGACTTTTTGTGTAGTAGTAGTATTAGTGTGTTTCACATTTTACATTAAAAGAGACACACCTACACACACACACACAATCTTACTTGTACATGTGGAAAGGGGATATAGTTTGGCAGAACTGTACAAAGGGGGGATGCAGCGTTTATGTTTATTCAAAAACCAATTAATCAAGTGCCAAGTAGGGCCAAAGAAACAATACAAGCGCATGTTGTTGTTTATTCCATTCACAACAAAGGGACAGAGTCCTGGACGTCACAAACACTATTACTTTATCATTCTGTCCCCATCGTCACCATCAGCATCAAACATCAAAAATACAACATTTACTGTATGTGTTTAGATTGTTTCACGTCACCCAGTTGTTCCCCAGTTGTAAAATAGATGTTCCCCAGTTGTAAAATAGATGTTCCCCAGTTGTAAAATAGATGTTCCCCAGTTGTAAAATAGATGTTCCCCAGTTGTAAAATATTGTGACATGTAACCCATCAACTCTGAAATACAACCCTGAGAATCTGTCTTCAAAGATGCCATCCTCTGATGTTTCTCCTGTCTGTGCTTGTCTTCCAGCTTTTTCAGATCCATGGATCCCGGATGTACTAGAGAGAATAGTATTTTTTTAGCTTGACATTTCATTTAGTGTTTGTTTATATATGTTTTGTTATTGTTGTGGCTTGAAAAAAAAAAAAAAAAAAAGAGAGATGTGCTCAAATATTATTTTCACCGGCAGCGAAACGCCAACATTTCAAAGTGTTTAGAGACAGATATGATTAAAAAAAAAAATATATATTATCTTCTATAATTTTTAATGTATTTTAGTTCTAATCATCACTTAAGCCATGGAAGTTAGTGAATCTTAGTAAAATACATTTGACCAAAGATAATGATTAAAAGCACTGCAAATCAATGTGCTCATCCAAATGTGAACATTTAATGAAATTCACATGAAATATGTGGAATATGACTCATAAGTAAATTGTTGTTGTTTGCACTAGTTCTCACTTGTATGATGCTTGATACAGTACTGAGACATGGGCCTGAGTCAGTGATGTGGCAATGTCCTGTCTCTTTGATACTGCTCTGCTGCAGTAGAGATTGACAGTGAGACTAACACAGAAAGACAGACAGATGTCAACTAACCGGCCACAGTCAGCACCACAAAAACTCTTCCCCCTTACACACACTCCCTTACTCTCTCTCTCTCTCTCTCTCTCTCTCACATACACACACACACTCTTGTATAACTAACCTTGTGGGGACACACAATTCAGTCCCATTCAAAATCCTATTTTTCCGAACCCTAATCTTCTGGTCCCCACAAGTATAGTTAAACACAAACACACACACACACACACAAACACACACTCTCTATCTTTATCTCTCTCTCTCACTCACTCACTCACTCACTCACTCACTCACTCACTCACTCACTCACACACACACACACACACACACACACACACACACACACACATACCCATAGCAGTGCTTCCTGACATGCGTGTTCCCTGAGGCGTGTGCGTGCTCAGCAGAGCAGAGCTCTCAGCCTGTCGCCCTGGCGCTAGGCCCTGGCAGGAACATGAAGAGAGGTCTGCGTCTGAAATGGCACCCTATTCCCTATATAGTGCACTACTCTGGCCAAAAGTATTGTACTATGTAGGAAATAGGGTGCCATTTTGGATGCAGCTCTGTTCTCTGCTCATGTTGTAATGATAGGCCCTGATAGGCCCTTGCACCTTGAGGCCAGGCTGTTGTCCTTACACGTTTAGCTAGAACTATGATGGTACCCCCCTTTCACATGGCACATATATTGTTACAGAATTTCATTTTTTAAATGTATTTCACTGTAAATGAGGAGAAATTAGATAAGACCTTGTCAAATCAACTGTAAAAGCCTCAAGGCAGCATGCACTGGCCAGAACCTTAGAACATAATTATTTCGCAACTGAATTAGAAGGTTTTGGCACGGGCCATTATCACCTCCCTGCAGCCCAATACTGTCACAGTCAGTAGAGAGAGCCTGTCTCTGCAACCTTCAAATACTGCAACTATACTCATTCTAGTCTCTGCATGTCAACATACCCACAGATCACAATTTGAGTTGATTTCAGTTAAAAGATTTCATGGAGGCAATCTTGCATTTTTGTGCACTTGAGTTGTGAATAGAATGTTTGGCTTTGGTCATCAAAAAAGAGCATAGCATATGGATTAAGATAACTTTATTGGTAAATTGCACACAAGGTCCAACCAAAATTTGATATCTGCTTTTTACCCAACCCCTCCAAAGGATACATACAGTATACAGGTGTGGGGTGCTGGGGTGCTGCCCCACTGGGTGCTGTTGTTGTGGGGGGTTAAGTGCCTTGCTCAATGGCAGGCAATGGCATCTAGGATTTGATACCAGCAACCCTCATGTTGCCAGCTCACTTCCCACAAGATTTTTATAGTCGGACACAGGATTCGGACTGGCAAACTTCCAGTTGCTGGCTCGCCTCTCTAACTGCTAGGCTTGGGTGCCTTGATTTCAAGCAAAAACAACGCCATATAGGCATGTACAAAGTCTCTGGGAAGATTTGTTTGAGTTGGTCAATGGACTGCAAAATTACAAAGCTTTTGCTCTATACTACATTTGTTTTGTACATGTGTTTTAGTTATTTATTTTCATGACATTGCATGTTTTTTTTTTCAATATCATGAAAAATGTTTCCTAGCCATGTGCCTGGCATAGACCTCATGTTTTGGTGGTGTTGCATCAGAAGACGTCCCCCTTAATGAGGCTACTCTGGTTTGTAGCCTGAGCTCAAACTGTTTGTGCTTTTCGAAGACATCATTACTTGAGCTGAAAACCTGGTATTCCTCAGCATGTTTAATTAAAATGTTTCTACTCATCCATGAGCATTACAGATTTTAACTATTTTTATATATATATATATCGTTTAACTGTATATATGGGTTTCACTGTAGTTAATTTCTTGTTCCCGGACAATAAACTTAATTGTTTTTCTTAGGCATCTAATGCTGTTACAATAGCCAGGGTTGATTTGCTTTACAGTACATTATCTTTATACAGGCAGTAAAAGCAGTCATGCTACATTCTTGTTAAAAAAAATTCAAAACAGAATGTAAATATGTGTTAGACAATCGTGCATAATCATTCATAATTCACTGTAGAAAATCAGCGAGAGTGAGAACTTCCTTCCTACTCCCTTTAACTAAAGCTTCAATGTACTCAGATATACCCCCATAACTTCTCATACATCAGTGACATAGGAATTGTAATGTCTCAATATACTGTAACAGGCTCAATGAAACATGGATCAATGTTTTCAGTCCCGTCAACTACATTTGTAACATGCTGTACAGGAATGATTCCAACAACTGTAAAGGACAGTGCATAATATAATCACAAAATAAATAAAGTTTCAATGTCATTTGTTTTTAAACCAGAAATGATTTTTGTTTTTATTTTTCAGGAGAAAAAATAATCACAACAATAGTCTCCATATATTGCAATCAGTTAAAAGGAATACATGTATAAGGATTAATAATTGTTGTATTTGATTATAGACAACACAATTATTTAACACTTAACACCTGAAGGTACAATAACTACTTTTTGCTATTTGCAGTTCTACCTGAGGTCAGCATTTTCTTCTCAGTATTTTTGACATTTCTAGTGCAGAGGTTGTGGAGGGGAAGGTTTCCAATATACAGTTGAAGTCGGAAGTTTACATACACCTTAGCCAAATACATTTAAACTCAGATTTTTCACAATTCCTGACATTTAATCCTAGTAAAAATGCCCTGTCTAAGGTCAGTTAGGGTCACCACTTTATTTTAAGAATGTGAAATGTCAGAATAATAGTAGAGAGAATTATTTATTTCAGCTTTTATTTATTTCATCACATTCCCAGTGGGTCAGAAGTTTACATACACTCAATTAGTATTTGGTAGCATTGCCTTTAAATTGTTTAACTTGTGTCAAACGTTTCGGGTAGCCTTCCACAAGCTTCCACAATAAGTTGGGTGAATTTTGGCCCATTCCTCCTGACAGAGCTGGTGTAACTTAGTCAGGTTTGTAGGCCTCCTTTCTCGCACACGCTTTTTCAGTTCTATAGGATTGAGGTCAGGGCTTTGTGATGGCCACTCCAATACCTTGACTTTGTTGTCCTTAAGCCATTTTGCCACAACTTTGGAAGTATGCTTGGGGTCATTGTCCATTTGGAAGACCCATTTGCGACCAAGCTTTAACTTCCTGACTGATGTCTTGAGATGTTGCTTCAATATATCCACATAATTTTCCTCCTCATGATGCCACCTATATTGTGAAGTGCACCAGTCCCTCCTGCAGCAAAGCACCCCCACAGCATGATGCTGCCACCCCCATGCTTCACGGTTGGGATGGTGTTCTTCGGCTTGCAAGCGACCCCCTTTTTCCTCCAAACATAACGATGGTCATTATGGCCAAACAGTTCTATTTTTGTTTCATCAGACCAGAGGACATTTCTCCAAAAAGTACGATCTTGTACTTGTCGATATAGGACTCGTTTTACAGTGGATATACAGTGGGGAGAACAAGATTTGATACACTGCCGATTTTGCAGGTTTTCCTACTTACAAAGCATGTAGAGGTCTGTAATTTTTATCATAGGTACACTTCAACTGTGAGAGACAGAATCTAAAACATATTGTATGAAATCCAGAAAAACACATTGTATGATTTTTAAGTAATTAATTTGCATTGTATTGCATGACATAAGTATTTGATCACCTACCAACCAGTAAGAATTCCGGCTCTCACAGACCTGTTAGTTTTTCTTTAAGAAGCCCTCCTGTTCTCCACTCATTACCTGTATTAACTGGACCTGTTTGAACTCGTTACCTGTATAAAAGACACCTGTCCACACACTCAATCAAAGAGACTCCAACCTCTCCACAATGGCCAAGACCAGAGAGCTGTGTAAGGACATCAGGGATAAAATTATAGACCTGCACAAGGCTGGGATGGGCTACAGGACAATAGGCAAGCAGCTTGGTGAGAAGGTAACAACTGTTGGCGCAATTATTAGAAAATGGAAGAAGTTCAAGATGACGGTCAATCACCCTCAGTCTGGGGCTCCATGCAAGATCTCACCTCGTGGGGCATCAATGATCATGAGGAAGGTGAGGGATCAGCCCAGAACTACACGGCAGGACCTGGTCAATGACCTGAAGAGAGCTGGGACCACAGTCTCAAAGAAAACCAATAGTAACACACTATGCCATCATGGATTAAAATCCTGCAGCGCATGCAAGGTCCCCCTGCTCAAGCCAGCGCATGTCCAGGCCCGCCTGAAGTTTGCCAATGACCATCTGGATGATCCAGAGGAGGAATGGGAGAAGGTCATGTGGTCTGATGAGACAAAAATAGAGCTTTTTGGTCTAAACTCCACTCGCCGTGTTTGGAGGAAGAAGAAGGATGAGTACAACCCCAAGAACACCATCCCAACCGTGAAGCATGGAGGTGGAAACACCATTCTTTGGGGATGCTTTTCTGCAAAGGGGACAGGACGACTGCACCGTATTGAGGGGAGGATGGATGGGGCCATGTATCGCGAGATCTTGGCCAACAACCTCCTTCCCTCAGTAAGAGCATTGAAGATGGGTCGTGGCTGGGTCTTCCAGCATGACGACCCGAAACACACAGCCAGGGCAACTAAGGAGTGGCTCCGTAAGAAGCATCTCAAGGTCCTGGAGTGGCCTAGCCAGTCTCCAGACCTGAACCCAATAGAAAATCTTTGGAGGGAGCTGAAAGTCTGTATTGCCCAGTGACATACATTTACATTTACATTTTAGTCATTTAGCAGACGCTCTTATCCAGAGCGACTTACAGTTAGTGAATACATATTTTTTTATACTGGCCCCCCGTGGGAATCGAACCCACAACCCTGGCGTTGCAAACACCATGCTCTATCAACTGAGCTACATCCCTGCCGGCCATTCCCTCCCCTACCCTGGACGACGCTGGGCCAATTGTGCGACGCCCATGAGTCTCCCGGTCGCGGCCGGCTGCGACAGAGCCTGGATTCGAACCAGGATCTCTAGTGGCACAGTTAGCACTGCGATGCAGTGCCTTAGACCACTGCGCCACTCAGGACAGTGACAGCCCCGAAACCTGAAGGATCTGGAGAAGGTCTGTATGGAGGAGTGGCTGCAGTGTGTGCAAACCTGGTCAAGACCTACAGGAAACGTATGATCTCTGTAATTGCAAACAAAGGTTTCTGTACCAAATATTAAGTTCTGCTTTTCTGATGTATCAAATACTTATGTCATGCAATAAAATGCAAATTAATTACTTAAAAATCATACAATGTGATTTTCTGGATTTTTGTTTTAGATTCCATCTCTCACAGTTGAAGTGTACCTATGATAAAAATTACAGACCTCTACATGCTTTGTAAGTAGGAAAACCTGCAAAATAAGCAGTGTATCAAATACTTGTTCTCCCCACTGTAGATACTTTTGTACCTGTTTCCTCCAGCATCTTCACAAGGTCCTTTGCTGTTGTTCTGGGATTGATTTGCACTTTTCGCACCAAAGTACGTTCATCTCTAGGAGACAGAACGCGTCTCCTTCCTGAGTAGTATGACGGCTGTGTGTTCCCATGGTGTTTATACTTGCGTACTATTGTTTGTACAGATGAACGTAGTACCTTCAGGCATTTGGAACTTTAACCAGACTTGTGGAGGTCTACCATTTTTTTTTCTGAGGTCTTGGCTGATTTCTTTTGATTTTCCCATGATGTCAAGCAAAGAGGCACTGAGTTTGAAGGTAGGCCTTGAAATACATCCACAGGTACACCTCCAATTGACTCAAATGATGTAAATTAGCCTATCAGAACCTTTTAAAGCCATGACATCATTTTCCTGAATTTTCCAAGCTGTTTAAAGGCACAGTCAACTTAGTGTATATAAACTTCTTATCCACTGTAATTGTGATACATTGAATTATAAGTGAAATAATCTGTCTGTAAACAATTGTTGGAAAAATTACTTGTGTCATGCACAAAGTAGATGTCCTAACCGACTTGCCAAAACAAGAAATGTGTGGAGTGGTTGAAAAACGAGATTTAAGGACTCCAACCTAAGTGTATGTAAACTTCCGACTTCAACTGTATCAGTAAAGTGCTTAGTTGGTCTACAGCTTTGTGGTTCCTCCAAAAGGCCAGAATTCTAACTCAAGATCTGCATGTGACTTTAGTTTTCACACAAATCTTCCATTGACAACCAAGAATGATTGATGCAGAAGTTGGGAGAAGACTCGCATCAATAGACAAAAGAACAACAATATAATAACCCTAATCCTCCTTATCAAAATAACTACAAGAAAGTACTGAAGTTGTCGACCGTAGCCAGATGGAGGTACTCCGGCTGGTCATCGTGATCCTCCTCCTCTCCCCTCTGCTCCGCTCCATCCCTCCCCACCCTCCTCTGCCTCATGGACAGGGTATTCCTCTTCTCCATGACCTCTGACCCCAGCGAGCGGTTCTCCAGACACTCCTGGATCATCTGGGCCAGGTCCTGCTGCAGACGCTGGCAGTTCTCCCTGCAGGGAGGGACAAGGACATAGGAGTTAATTATATAGATATGTAGCTCTAATTATATATGTTTACTCTACAAAATGGAAGAAGGACATAGAATGTACAAGTTAATAATATAGATAGATCTAAAGATGACATGTAGCTCTAATGATGTACATTCTCTTTACTAAGTTATAGGGGAGCATATAAATTAGCAGCTGGTTAACTCACGCTGTCGGTGGCATTGGCAGGTTGTAGTCCTCTCCTGTTTCACCTGTCAACCAGTAGGTCAACTCTGTGCCTTTACCCTGGGATATATATACACACACACAATCGTATATGATATTCAACACAGTAGATAAGAGTACTACATAGTACAAATGGCATCAAATAAATCTGTATGACTCTATCATGACAAACAGCAAAGCGCAAAGCGGCATGTGCCATGTCCATACCTTGAGGAAAGTCTCCCCTCTCTTCTCGTACTCAAACTTGCAGTCTGTCCTCTGTAGGATGCTGATGGTGGGCTGACTGACGTGGATTCTCAGGGCTGGATGGAGAGAGACAGAGTTGTATTTTACTCACCTGCCATGATAGTTGATATGAACATGAAATGTTTGTATAGAGTTGGTATGGATATTTCTAGTGTTCCTGAAGCCTGCTTACGATGTCCCGTTGACTCCATGCTAGAGGCAGTGTTGATTGTGTCTCCAAACAGGCAGTATCTGGGCATCTTTATCCCCACCACTCCTGCTGCACAGGGGCCTAGGGAACAAGTAGCGAGACTTAAGGTGGGTATTGATGACAGACAGAGGGAGGGGAGAGTGAGGGAAGTTACAGGAAAGAGCAGAGACCAAGGTGTCACGATCGCTTACAGACGGGACGGACCAAGGCGCAGCGTGATATGCGTACATGTTTATTAAATATTAACCACAACGACAAAATAACAAACAAACCGAAACGTGAAGTCCAAGGCAACACAACATACCTTACACGGAACAAGATCCCACAACCCACTAGTGCCAATAGGCTGCCTAAGTATGGTCCCCAATCAGAGACAACGAGCGACAGCTGCCTCTGATTGGGAACCACACCGGCCAACATAGATCTAGAAATACTAGATTCACAACATAGAACAAAACACAGCAAGGAAAATACACACCCTGACTCAACATACAAGCGTCCTCTGAGTCAGGGCGTGACAGTACCCCCCCCCCCCCCCCCCCCCCCCCAAAGGTGCGGACTCCGACCGCACAACATAAACATAACAGGGTAGGGGCCGGGTGGGCATTCCGCCTCGGAGGCGGATCCGGGCGTGACGACCTCTTACTCTCCGCCTCCCTGTTACGCCCCTGGTCTGGTCTGGACCTCGGGGGGCTGCTTCCCCTCTCCTTCCTCCCAAGATGTACCAAGCCCTGTCTGGACCCTGGTGTGGGAGACCCCGAACCTGGAGAGGGGCTGACGTCTGGGTCTGGACTGGAACCGCTGACTGGAGCCGGACCCGACGACGGTGGAGCGAACTGCTCTGGCTCCAGAGTGGAGCCGCTGACCGGAGCTGGATCAGGCACCGGTGGAGCGGACTGCTCTGGCTCCGGAGTGGAGCCGCTGACCAGTGCCGAACCAGGCACCGGTGGAACAGGCACGGGCCGTGCCGGACTGGACACACGCACCACTGGCTTGGTGCGAGGAGCAGGAACTGGCCGGACCGGGCTGGGCGACGCGCACCACTGGCTTGGTGCGAGGGACAGGATTCAGGCCGGACCGGGCTGGCGACGCGCACCACTGGCTTGGTGCGAGGGACGGGAACAGGCCGGACCGGGCTGGCGACGCGCACCACTGGCTTGGTGCGGGGAGCAGGAATGGGCCGTACCGGACTGGCGACGCGCACCACTGGCCTGGTGCGGGGAGCAGGAACGGCCGTACCGGACTGGCGACGCGCACCACTGGGCCTGGTGCGGGGGAGCAGGAACAGGCCGGCCGGGCTGGCGACGCGCACCACTGGCTTGGTGCGAGGGGCAGGAACAGGCCCAGGCTGGCGACGCGCACCACTGGCTTGGTGCGAGGGACAGGATCAGGCCGGACCGGGCTGGCGACGCGCACCACTGGCTTGGTGCGAGGGACAGGAACAGGCCGGACCGGGCTGCGACGCGCACCACTGGCTTGGTGCGAGGGACAGGATCAGGCCTGGACCGGTTCTGGTGACGCGCACCACTGGCTTGGTGCGAGGGGCAGGAACATGCCGGACCGGGCTGGCGACGCGCACCACTGGCTTGTGCTAGGGACAGGATCAGGCCGGACCGGGCTGGCGACGCGCACCCACTGGCTTGGTGCGGGGAGCAAGAACGGGCCGTACCGGCAAAGCGCACCACTGGCCTGGTGCGGGGAGCAGGAACGGGCCGTACCGGACTGGCGACGCGCACCACTGGCCTGGTGCGGGGAGCAGGAACAGGCCGGGCCGGGCTGGCGACGCGCACCACTGGCTTGGTGCGAGGGGCAGGAACAGGCCGGGCCAGGGCTGGCGACGCGCACCACTGGCTTGGTATGAGGGGCATGAACAGGCCGGACCGGGCTGGCGACGCGCACCACTGGTCTTGGTGCGAGGGGGCAGGAACAGGCCGGGCCGGGCTGGCGACGGGCAACACTGGCTTGGTGCGAGGGGCAGGAAACAGGCCGGACCGTACTGGGAACACGCACCACTGGCTTAGTGCGGGAAGCAGGAACAGGACGGGCCGGACTGGCGACGCGCACCACTGGCTTGGTGCGAGGGGCAGGAACGGGTCGGGCCGTACTGGGGACACGCACCACTGGCTTGGTGCGAGGAGCAGGAACGGGCCGTACCGGAGGCGACGCGAACCACGGCCTGGTGGGGGGAGCGGAACACCCCGGGCCGGGCTGGGACGGCCCCAAATGGCTTGGTGCGAGGGAGGAACAGGCCGGGGGGGCGCGCGCCCACGGGCGGGTTTCGAGGGACAGGATGGGCCGGCCCGGGCTGGCGACGGCCCATGGTTGGTGCGAGGGGCAGGAACGGCCGGACCGGGCTGGCACGCGCACCACTGGCTTGGGCGAGGGACGGGATGGCGGACCGGGCTGGCGACCGCACCCGGGCTTGGTCGAGGGGCAGGAAAGGCCGGACCGGGCGGCACGCGCCCCAACTGGTTGGTGGAGGACGGACGGGCCGGACCGGGCTGGCGCGCGACCATGGTTGGTGCGGGGGGGAAGGAACGGGCCCGTCCCGGCAAACGCCCCACGGCTGGGGGGGAGCGGAAGGGGCCTAGGACGGGCGACGCGCCCCACGGGCCGGGTGGGGGGAGAGGGAACGGGGGGGGCCGGGCGGGCGACGCGCACCAATGGCTTGGTGCGAGGGGCAGGAAACCAGGCCGGGCCGGGCTGGCGACGCGCACCCACTGGTGCTGGTTTATGAGGGGCATGAAACAGGCCGGGACCGGCAATGGCGAACGCGCACCCATGGTTGGTGCGAGGGTCAGGAACAGGCCGGGCCGGGCTGGCGACGGGCGGCAACAACTGGCTTGGTGCGAGGGGCAGGGAACAGGCCGGACCGTACTGGGAACACGCACCACTGGCTTAGTTGCGGGAAGGCAAGGAACAGGACCAGGGGCCGGAACTGGCGTACAGCGCAACCACTGGCTTTGGTTCGAGGGGGAAGGAACGGGTTCGGGGCCGTTATTCTGGGGACACGTTCCACCACTGGCTTGGTGCGAGGAGCAGGAAACAGGGCCGGAACCGGGCCTGGCGACGCGCCACCACTGGCTTGGTGCGGGGGCAGGAACAGCCGGGCCGGGATGGCGACGCGCACCACTGGCTTGGTGCGAGGGACAAGGAACAGGCCCGGACCGGGCTGGCGACGCGCACCACTGGCTGTGGTGCGAGGGGCAGGAACAGGCCGGGCTGGCGACGCGCACCACTGGCTTGGTGCGGGAGCAGGAATGGGCCGTACCGGACTGGCGACGCGCACCACTGGCCTGGTGGCGGGAGCAGGAACGGGCCGTACCGGACTGGCGACGCGCACCACTGGCTTGGTGCGAGGGGCAGGAACAGGCCGGGCCGGGCTGGCGACGCGCACCACTGGCTTGGTGCGAGGGGCATGAACAGGCCGGACCGGGCTGGCGACGCGCACCACTGGCTTGGTGCGAGGGGCAGGAACAGGCCGGGCCGGGCTGGCGACGCGCAACACTGGCTTGGTGCGAGGGGCAGGAACAGGCCGGACCGTACTGGGAACACGCACCACTGGCTTAGTGCGGGAAACAGGAACAGGACGGGCCGGACTGGCGACGCGCACCACTGGCTTGGTGCGAGGGGCAGGAACGGGTCGGGCCGTACTGGGAACACGCACCACTGGCTTAGTGCGGGAAGCAGGAACGGGCCGGACCGGACTGGCGACACGCACCACTTGCTTGGTGCGAGGAGCGGGACTGGGTTCCTTTATTAACCCCCGCTCCTTCTGCTGCCTAACCAGCTCCTCTCGCCGTGCCTCTACACTTTCCTTCTCCCTTATAGCCTCCTGTAGCGCCTCCCTCTGACCGAATAACTCCTGCTCCCTCTGAACCAATAGCCCCCGTAACATGGTGGCCTCCTCTCCTAACCTGCAGACCCGCCCTTTAACGGCCTCCTGATGCCTCGCCGTCCACACCGTGTGCCCCCCCCCCCAAATGTTCTTGGGGTTGCCTCTCGGGTCTCCGTCGTCGGCACTCCTCTTCCTGTGAGGACTCCTCCGGAAGCCCCCACGAGTTAGGGAACAGAACCTCGTCGTCGTCATCCTCCGACTCCTCAGTATAATACTGTTCCCACTCCTCTTCCCATGGTCGTAGGGACCCAATCTGAAAACCGACTGGGTGCAGTGGTCGGGGCTCTTCTCTCTCGCTCCCCGACCACCCCTTTAGCCCCCAATTTTTTTTTTCTTGAGGCTGTCTCTCGGGCTTCCTCCTCGACCAGCGTCCTCTGCATTGCCGTTGCTCCTCTCCTGCCTGGGTATCTACCTTCGCCCATGGCCCTTTCCCCACAAATATCTCTTCCCATGACCACAATTTGCCCACCTGGGACATGGCTATTCGCTCCTCCTGGGCACGCTGCTTGGTCCTCGTTTGGTGGGATCTTCTGTCACGTTCGTTTACGGACGGGACGGACCAAGGCGCAGCGTGATATGCGTACATGTTTATTAAATATTAACCACATCGACAAAATAACAAACAAAGCGAAACGTGAAGTCCAAGGCAACACAACATACCTTACACGGAACAAGATCCCACAACCCACTAGTGCCAATAGGCTGCCTAAGTATGGTCCCCAATCAGAGACAACGAGCGACAGCTGCCTCTGATTGGGAACCACACCGGCCAACATAGATCTAGAAATACTAGATTCACAACATAGAACAAAACACAGCAAGGAAAATACACACCCTGATTCAACATACAAGCGTCCTCTGAGTCAGGGCGTGACACAAGGAGGTTTTGTATTGATAAGATAGAGAGGGGAGAGAGGGAGGTGTTATGAATTCAGGATAGGGCTTAGGGAGCTAGGGATACCTGAGTGCATCCCAATGCGGATCCACACAGGTAGCCCCGGCAGGTGTCTGAGCTGGAAGGTCCCCATAAATGCCAGAATGTCCAGGGCCATGCGGGAGATGTCCACCGCGTGCCTGTTTCCGTTCCGCTGCGGCAACCCCGACGCCACCATGTACGCATCACCTATCGTCTCCACCTGACACAGGACGAGAAGGAAGACATAGAATCTATACATCTGCTATTGGACTAGATGTTTTGGTTTACAGTAAGCCTCAACCCTAACCTTAAGCCTAGCTTCATGTCCACATCCCAGTTCAACCCTAACCCTAGCCTGAACCACAACCCTATCCCTAACCCTAACCTTGTATACGTCATGGTGGTCGAGGATGCTGTCAAAGCCCTTGTAGATGTCGTTGAGCATGTCCACCACTTCCATGGGGGTGCTATACTGGCACAGGGTGGTGAAGCCCACGATGTCGCTGAAGTACACCGTCACCTCCTCAAACAGCTCTGGCTCCACGATGCCTGTCTCCTTCAGAGAACGCACCACAGGACTGGAGCGAGAGAAGGAGAGAGAGAAGTCATTTGCTGGTCTTAAAGTGGTTTTCTGGTTGTGCAGTCTGACAAAGACCTTCTGGTCGAAACACTGCACTTAATAAAACAACAAGAACATTGAACTGTGTGCGGGTATCTGTTTATTTTTGTTGTTGTTGTTGTTGTCGACTGACCGAGGCAGCAGCATGAAGTTGAGGCAGTCGGCCCTGTCTCTCTCAGCCTTGTACAGAGCTGTCCTCTCCTCCACCAGGTGCTCCAGGTTCCGGGAGTACATCTGTAGACGACGGATCAGGTTGTCCATGTAGCTCTCATTAGCCTGGTTGTGCAGGTTACTATGGAGAAAATAACAGAGGATCAGTCACACACACATACACACACACATGCGCACACACACACCACCTTTCAATGTAGGTGCTGCCCTTGTGAGGTGTTTCTCAAATGTATCTTAAATGAAAGAGAAGGGTGTAGCTCTACAGCAATTAAATGTGAATGTTATTTTGTAACACTGCAAACCATAACCATGCTCCCTCTCACTCAAATCTCTATTTATTTTGACCATTTGTCATGTTACAGAGACATTTGACCATCTTTGTACAATGATTCTTCACCTTTCTGATAAAATGGCTAAGTCCTGGCAAGTATTTAGCTCTATCCAATAAAAGTAGGTAGCTGGTACCTGAAGATCTTCCCCAATGAGCTCTCTATCTTCTTAAAGTCAGGCCTTCGCTCTGGGTCCTCATCCCAGCAGATCTTTATCAGCATGTACACCTGTGGGCATGGAAGAAAAAATTGCAGACTCTATCTCCATATCTGTCTTTCTCTATACTGTAAGTCCACCCCCCCCCCCCCCTTCTCTCTTTCTCTCTGTTACACACAAACAAATGCCAATCTTACCTTGTTGTTCGGCGGTGCCGGGGGTAGCACGAAGCTAGCTAGCTAGCCGTTCTTCAAACAAGGTCAACACAGTGGCCATTGCTAGCTAGCCAACAGACACGGACACGAATTATCTGCTTAGTGTGTTAACACACTATTGGTGGTTTGTTGTGACCAAGTGTTGGCGCTAAACTGTGTGTTTTTGGATGCTAGCATGCTAGTTAGCTATGGTGTCTTAGTTAGCTAGCTGAATAAAGTGGGTTGAGTCTATTCCTTTAAACATTGAACCGCTGTGGTTCACAACAATTCTGATTTCTAAAGGTGGAAGTTGGTAGAGTTTTTGTTCGGGTGGTTCAGTGAAACAATTATAGTTGTTAGAAGTATAAGTTTTTGGTGAGGGAGGCCCTGCTCTCTACTGTCCCAGATGTTTAGTTCATTTCATTCCGATCTCCTCTGCATTATTGTAGCCATTTGCTACAGCCTGTCAACTATGCCTCTGCCTATCCCTGTTCTCTCCTCTCTGCACAGGCTACACAAACGCCCCACACCGCGTGGCTGCTGCCTCTCTAACCTGGTGGTCCCTGCACGCACCCCACACCTGGAGTTCCAGGTCTCAGGCAGCCTCTGGAACTGCCGTTCTGCTGCCAACAAAGCTGACTTCATCCCAGCCTATGCTAATCTCCAGTCCCTCGACTTCCTGGCGCTGACGGAAACATGGATTACCACTGAAAACACTGCTACTCCTACTGCTCTCTCCTCGTCTGACCATGTGTTCTCGCATACCCCGAGAGCATCTGGTCAGAGGGGTGGTGGCACAGGAATCCTCATCTCTCCCAAGTGGACATTCTCAATTTTTCCCCTAACCCATCTGTCTATCTCCTCATTTGAATTCCATGCTGTCACAGTCACTAGCCCATTTAAGCTTAATATCCTTGTCATCTATCGCCCTCCAGGTTCCCTTGGAGAGTTCATCAATGAGCTTGACGCCTTGATAAGCTCCTTTCCTGAGGATGGCTCACCCCTCACAGTTTTGGGGGATTTCAACCTCCCTATGTCCACATTTGACTCATTTCTCTCTGCCTCCTTCTTTCCACTTCTCTCCTCTTTTGACCTCACCCTCTCACCGTCCCCCCCCTACTCACAAGGCAGGCAATACGCTTGACCTCATCTTTACTAGATGCTGCTCCTCTACTAATCTCACTGCAACTCCCCTCCATGTCTCCGACCACTACTTTGTTTCCTTTTCTCTCTCGCTCTCCTCCCACACTACTCACTCTGCCCCTACACAGATGGTAATGCGCCGCCGCAACCTTCGCTCTCTCTCTCCCACTACTCTCTCCTCTTCCATCCTATCATCTCTTCCCTCTGCTCAATCCTTCTCCCTCCAATCTCCTGATTCTGCCTCCTCAACCCTCCTCTCCTCCCTTTCTGCATCCTTTGACTCTCTGTGTCCCCTATCCTCCCGGCCGGCTCGGTCCTCCCCTCCAGCTCCGTGGCTTGATGACTCATTGCGAGCTCACAGAACAGAGCTCCGGGCAGCGGAGCGGAAATGGAAGAAAACTAAACTCCCTGCCGACCTGGCATCTTTTCACTCCCTCCTCTCTACATTTTCTTCATCTGTTTTCTGCTGCTAAGGCCACTTTCTACCACTCTAAATTCCAAGCATCTGCCTCTAACCCTAGGAAGCTCTTTGCCACATTTTCCTCCCTCCTGAATCCTCCCCCCCCCCCCCCCGCCCCCCCCTCCTCTCTCTCTGTGGATGACTTCGTCAACCACTTTGAAAAGAAGGTTGACGACATTCGATCCTCGTTTGTTAAGTCTAATGACACTGCTGGTCCTACTCACACTGCCCTACCCTATGCTTTGACTTCTTTCTCCCCTCTCTCTCCAGATAAAATCCTGCGACTTGTGACTGCAGGCCGCCCAACAACCTGCCCGCTTGACCCCATCCCCTCCTCTCTTCTCCAGACCATCTCCGGTGACCTTCTCCCCTACCTCACCTCGCTGATCAACTCATCCTTGACCGCTGGCCATGTCCCTTCCGTCTTCAAGAGAGCGAGAGTTGCTCCCCTTCTCAAGAAACCAACACTCGATCCCACTGATGTCAACAACTACAGACCAGTATCCCTTCTTTCTTTTCTTTCCAAAACTATTGAGCGTGCCGTCTTTAGCCAACTCTCTTGCTATCTCTCTCAGAATGACCTTCTTGATCCAAACCAGTCAGGTTTCAGGACTGGTCATTCAACTGAGACTGCTCTTCTCTGTGTCACGGAGGCTCTCCGCACTGCTAAAGCTAACTCTCTCTCCTCTGCTCTTGTCCTTCTAGACCTGTCTGCTGCCTTTGATACTGTGAACCATCAGATCCTCCTCTCCACCCTCTCCGAGCTGGGCATCTCCGGCGCGGCTCACTCCTGGATTGCGTCCTACCTGACCGGTCGCTCCTACCAAGTGGCGTGGCGAGAAGCTGTCTCCGCACCACGTGCTCTCACCACTGGCGTCCCCCAGGGCTCAGTTCTAGGCCCTCTCCTTTTCTCCCTATACACCAAGTCACTTGGCTCTGTCATATCCTCACATGGCCTCTCCTATCATTGCTACGCTGACGATACACAACTAATCTTCTCCTTTCCCCCTTCTGATAACCAGGTGGCGAATCGCATCTCTGCATGTCTGGCAGACATATCAGTATGGATGACGGATCACCACCTCAAGCTGAACCCTGGCAAGACGGAGCTGCTCTTCCTCCCGGGGAAGGACTGCCCGTTCCATGATCTCGCCATCACGGTTGACAACTCCGCTGTGTCCTCCTCCCAGAGTGCGAAGAGCCTAGGCGTGACCCTGGACAACACCCTGTCGTTCTCCGCCAACATCAAGGCGGTGACCCGCTCCTGCAGGTTCATGCTCTACAACATTCGGAGAGTACGACCCTGCCTTACACAGGAAGCGGCACAGGTCCTAATCCAGGCACTTGTCATCTCCCGTCTGGACTACTGCAACTCGCTGTTGGCTGGCCTCCCTGCCTGTGCCATTAAACCCCTACAACTCATCCAGAATGCCGCAGCCCGTCTGGTGTTCAACCTTCCCAAGTTCTCTCACGTCACCCCCCCTCCTCCGCACACTCCACTGGCTTCCAGTTGAAGCTCGCATCCGCTACAAGACCATGGTGCTTGCCTATGGAGCAGTGAGGGGAACGGCACCTCTGTACCTTCGGGCTCTGATCAGTCCCTACACCCAAACGAGGGCATTGCGTTCATCCACCTCTGGCCTGCTGGCTCCCCTTCCTCTGCGGAAGCATAGTTCCCGCTCAGCCCAGTCAAAACTGTTCGCTGCTCTGGCACCCCAATGGTGGAACAAGCTCCCTCACGATGCCAGGACAGCGGAGTCACTCACCACCTTCCGGAGACATTTGAAACCCCACCTCTTTAAGGAATACCTGGGATAGGATGAAGTCATCCTTCAAACCCCCCCCCCCCCCCCCCCCCCAAAATTGTAAAGTGGTTATCCCACTGGCTATAGGGTGAACGCACCAATTGGTGAGTCGCTCTGGATAAGAGCGTCTGCTAAATGACGTAAATGTGCCCTTGAGCAAGGCACTTAACCCTAATTGCTCCTGTAAGTCGCTCTGGATAAGAGCGTCTGCTAAATGACTAAAATGTAAATGTAAAATGTACCTCCAATTCCTTTTCTCCTGCAGTCTCAAAATTCAGATCAGGTCTGAAATAGGTTATTTTGCTGGGGTACTGCACTCTGGACATTTTCTCTGATGAAGACAGAACAACGTGTGTGAGTGTCTTGTTTTTCTGCTACAATATGTTGTGCTCAACTGAACAATTCTACAGTTGACCATTACATTTTAAATAAGGGTAATAACTACAGTATAGCAAAGCTAAGGCATTGATTCTGTTACGAGTTTCTATATAAGGTGTTATATAGGAATGTGTCTAACCTGTGCGGTCAGAGTATGCCTCGGTGTAAAAGGTGCTCCTCCTGAGAACTATCTCCTGGGCGATGATGGCAAAGCTGTAGACATCTCCCTTCTGGGAGATCCCCTGTCTACGCAGGTGCTCTGGAGCTGTCCACAGGTCTGATGGGGGAGGGAAGGGAGGGGAAGGATGGAGAGTGGGGATACGGGATAGGGGAGGATAGGTTAAAAAAAAACTGTTAAGAAATAAGTGGCAGAACAGGGATAAGACAGAAAGAGACATATCCTGGGACAGACAGACCTCAGGGGATGTGTATGGTGTGTATGGCATGAATGCTAACTATGCTAGCAAGCTAGCCCTACAGAAATAATAGTTCCTACCTCTGCCTGGGTTTAGAATGGTGTTGCAGCCAAAGTCAGTGATCTTGACCACCATGCGGTTGTCCACTACACAGTTAGTGGACTTAAGACGGCCATGGACCTGGATGTCACTGGAGTGGAGGTAGGACATACCCTGCGGATATGAAGAAAGGGGAGGAGGTTTTGTCTTTGAATGTAGGCCTACTGTATTTCAATGACTCAATGTTGTCAAACGGATCAAAGCATTTTCGGAAATGTATATCAATATTGACAAGATAAAAAACTTTTGGAAAAGGTTTTAGCATCTTATGGTAAATTGCTCTGAGTTGGCATTTTCTGAGCTCATACAAACCAACAGCAGTGTAGACTAGAGTTGTTGCCAGCTCACCTTGGCGATGTCATACATTACAGAGATCTTAAACTCCCAGTCCATAAAGGTCTCCTCCGGGTACGAAATATTGTTATTCAGCACACGCTGAGGATGGAAGAATTTAAAAGTTCAAATGTGAAAGTGTGTGTGTGCATGTGTGTGTGTGCTTGCATGTGTGTTTCTCACCCTTAGGGATCCCCTCTCGCCATACTCGAACACCCCAAACACACCATGATCATACTTGACTGTGCCATAGAACTTAGTCAGGTTGTAGTAGTCAATGTGCAGAAGCTGTAAATCAGGAAGGATGGGTGTAATAAGCAATAGGAGTTATAATCAAATCAAATATAAAAAACTAAGCAAAGATACCACATGAACGCGTGTAAAATTGCATACTTGATACCCTCGAGTAGTCTACCGGACGTTGACAAACTTGCAGTATAATCGGTGACTCACCGAGTTGAGCTCTATCCTCTGACTCTTGTTAAAGTTCCCGTCCGAGTGCTTCAGCTCCTTCAGGATCACAATCTGAAACCATGACAGCAACAGTATCCTCAGTACACCGGACCTTCATCACTATGACAACAACAGTAGCCTTAGTACACCTAACCATATCCAGCTCCCTCAAGATCCTGCTTCAATTGTCAAAGTGAAGGAGTCTGCAACATGAGTCTACAATACACCTGACCAGACCACTGTATCGGTCCCTGAGCCGTGGTAGTTGTAAGTCAAGGGGGATGAATACTTTCTGAAGGCATTGTATATGACTCTTTATATGTATGTATGTATGTATGTATGTATATATACAGTACCAGTCAAAAGTTTGGACACACATTTAAGGGTTTTTCTTTATTTTTACTATTTTCTACATTGTAAAATAATAGTGAAGACATCAAAACTATGAGATGACACACATGGAAATGTAGTAACCAAGAAAGTGTTAAACAAATCAAAATATATTTTATATTTGAGATTCTGCAAAGTAGCCACCCTTTAGCTTGATGACAGCTTTGCACACTCTTGGCATTCTCTCAACCAGCTTCATGAGGTAGTCACCTGGAATGCATTTCAATTAACAGGTGTGCCTTCTTAAAAGTTAATTTGTGGAATTAATGCATTTGAGCCAATCAGTTGTGTTGTAACCAGGTAGGGGTGGTATACAGAAGATAGCCCTATTTGGTAAAAGACCAAGTCCATATTATGGCAAGAACAGCTCAAATAAGCAAAGAGAAACGACAGTCCATCATTACTTTAAGACATGAATGTCAGTCAATATGGAACATTTCAAGAACTTTGAAAGTTTCTTCAAGCGCTATGATGAAACTGGCTCTCACCTCTGCTGTAGAGGACAAGTTCATTAAAGTTACCAGCCTCAGAAATTGCAGCCCAAATAAATGCTTCACAGAGTTCAAGTAACAGACACATCTCAACATCAACTGTTCAGAGGAGACTGCGTGAATCAGGCCATCATGGTCGAATTGCTGCCAAGAAACCACTACTAAAGGACACCAATAAGAAGAAGAGACTTGCTTGGGCCAAGAAACATGAGCAATGGACATTAGACTGGTGGAAATCTGTCCTTTGGTCTGATGAGTCCAAATGTGAGATTTTGGATTCCAACCGCCGTATCTTTGTGAGACACAGAGTAGGTGAACGGATGATCTCTGCATGTATGGTTCCCATTGTGAAGCATGGAGGAGGAGGTGTGATGGTGTGGGGGTGCTTTGCTGGTGACACTGTCAGTGATTTATTTAGAATTCAAGGCACACTTAACCAGCATGGCTACCACAGCATTCTTCAGCGATACGCCATCCCATCTGGTTTGCGCTTAGTGGGACAATCATTTGTTTTTCAGCAGGACAATGACCCAACACACCTCCAGGTGTAAGGGCTATTTGACCAAGAAGGAGAGTGATGGAGTGCTGCATCAGATGACCTGGCCTCCACAATCCCCCGTTTTCAACCCAATTGAGATGGTTTGGGATGAGTTGGAATGCAGAGTGAAGGAAAAGCAGCCAACAAGTGCTCAGCATATGTGGGAACTCCTTCAAGACTGTTGGAAAAGACTACCTCATGAAGCTGGTTGAGAGAATGCCAAGAGTGTGCAAAGCTATCGTCAAGACAATGGGTGGCTACTTTGAAGAATCTAAAATATTAAATATATTTGGATTTGTATAATACTTTTTTGGTTACTACATGATTCCATATGTGTTATTTCATAGTTTTGATGTCTTCACTATTATTCTACAATGTAGAAAATAGTAAAAATAAAGAAAAACCCTTGAATGTGTCACGACTTCGGCCGAGGCTGCCTCCCCTCCTTGTTTGGGCAGGCTTTGGCGTTCGTCGTCACCAGAGTACTAACCACGTCCGCCCCAATCATCATCATAATTGTCTTGTCTCGTTATCGCACACACCTGGTTCTAATCCCCTAATTAGTCCATGTATAAGTGTTACCTCTGCCCCCTTGTCCTTGTGGGTGATTGTTTATTGTGAAGGTTAGTGAAGGTCGGTGGAGCTCGTGTATTTTGTTCGACGTGAGTATTTTCCTGTGTGCCTTGTATTTTCCAGTGCACCTGTTTTATGCCCTGGAGTGTGTTTGACGCAGTTCTGCGTAAACCTGTATTTTGCGGATTAAAGCCTGTTATTCGGTGATTTACCCTCTGCGCCTGACTCCTTCAACACCACCTTATCACAGAATGAGTAGGTTTGTCCAAACTTTTGACTGGTACTATATATATATATATAAAGAGCCATATACAATGCATTCAGAAAGTATTCATACCTCTTGACATACAGTGCATTCGGAAATAATTCAGACCCCTTCCCTTTTTTAACATTTTGTTGTGTTATAGCCTGAATTCAAAATGGATTACATTTGTAAAAAACCTCTCACCCATCTACACACAATACCCCATAATGACAAAGTGAAAACTTGTTTTTAGAAATTGTAGCACATTTATTGAAAATTAAATACAGAAATATCTAATTTACATAGGTGTTCACACCCCTGCGTCAATACTTTGTAGAACCACCTTTGGCAGCGATTACAGCTGTTAGTCTTTCTGGGTAAGTCTCTAAGAGCTTTTCACACCTGAATTGTACAACATTTGCCTATTGTTCTTTTCAAAATTCTTCAAGCTCTGTCAAATTGGTCTGTCAAATTGGTTGATCATTGCTAAACAACCATTTTCAGGTCTTGCCATATATTTTCAAGCTGATTTACATCAAAACCATAACCATGCTCCCTCTCACTCATAGCTCTATTTATTTTGACCATTTGTCATGTTACAGAGACATTTGACCATATTTGTACAATTATTCTTCACCTTTCTGATAAAATGGCGAAGTCCTGGCAAGTGTTTAGCTCTATCCAATAAAAGAGAGATAAAAGTAGGTAGCTCTAAGAGCTTTCCACTCCTGGATTGTACAACATTTGCCTATTGTTCTTTTCAAAATTCTTCAAGCTCTGTCAAATTGGTTGTTGATCATAGCTAAACAACCATTTTCAGGTCTTGCCATGTATTTTCAAGCCGATTTAAGTAAAAACTATAACTCGGCCACTCAGGAACATTCACTGTCTTCTTGGTAAGCAACTCCAATGTAGATTTGGCCTTGTTTTAGGTTATTGTCCTGCTGAAAGGTGAATTCATCTCCCAGTGTCTGGTGGAAAGCAGACTGAACCAGGTTTTCCTCTAGGAATTTGCCTGTGTAAAATCCACTCCATTCTGTTTATTTTTTATCCTGAAAAACTCCCCAGTCCTTAACGATTACAAGTATACCCATAACATGATGCAGACCCCACTGTGCTTGAAAATATGGAGAGTGGTATTCAGTAATGTGATGCATTGGATTTGCCCCAAACAAAGTGATGAAATCTGTTGGTATCATCAGAAAGATTAGTGGTTTAGTTCATCAGGCTTGCTTCCTAACTCTATACTATAGCTTAATTTACCCATATCTCATTTACTGTAATATTGTCTGGCCCAGTACATATGCCTCCTACCTACACAAATGACTCATCATTCAAAATACATTTGCAAGTCTAGCCACCTGCTCTAATTACCTGGCTCCATCTGCACCTTTGTTTAAGAAACTCAATATCTTGTCTATTTACGACATGAATGTACGCCAATTATGCACTTTCATCTACAAATACTCATAACTCCCAGAGAGTTTACCTAAACCCTTCAATGGATTCTTCCAGGTTAATTCTGAAATCTACCTATATAACACAAGACACTGCAATAACCTTCACGCTCCCCGCTGCTGCACCTCACACAGTCAATTGTCTATCAGATACAGAGGTACCGTACTCTGGAATTCTTATCTTCACATTGCCAAAACCTCATCATCCCTCAGTAACTTCCAGCAAAGACTGGGGGTCAGCCTGATGAACCAAACTACCCAATAATCCCCTCCATGTAGCCTAACTCTCACACACACACACACATACACATAATCAAACATGGTTTTTATTGTATAGTGAGTATATCACGTACAATTATAATGAATATGCTTTGTTTAACTGATTGAAAAATTTTTGTACTCATATTTGTGGTGTGGTTTTCATATACTGTAAGCCCTTTTGGGCTTCCAACCTCATCTGCACTCCGTTTTTACAAGTTTTGTCTTTCACTTATTTTCTTTGGTGCGAATAAATACAACCTAAAAAAAACTAAAACACTTTGCCAATTGTTTTGCAGTATTACTTTAGTGCCTTGCTGCAAATAGGATGAATGTTTTGGAATATTTGTATTCTGTACAGGCTTCCTTCTTTTCACTCTGTCAATTAGGTTAGTATTGTGCAGTAACTACAATGTTGTTGATCCATCCTCAGTTTTCTCCTATCACAGCCATTAAACTCTGTAACTCTTTTAAAGTCACCATTGGCCTCATGGTGAAATACCTGAGCGGTTTCCTTCCTCTCCGGCAACTGAGTTAGGAAGGACACCTGTATCTTTGTAGTGACTGGGTGCATTGATACACCATGCAAAGTGTAATTATTAACTTCACCATGCTCAATGGGATATTCAATGTCTGCATTTTTGTATTTTTACCCATCTACCAATAGGTGCCCTTCTTTGCGAGGCATTGGAAAACCTTCCTGGTCTTTGTGGTTGAGTCTGTGTTTGAAATTCACTGCTCGACTGAGGGACCTTACAGATAATTGTATGTGTAGGGTTCAGAGATGAGGCAGTCATTCAAAAATCATGTTAAACATTATTATTGCACACAGAGGGAGTCCAACTTATTATGTTACTTCTTAAGCAAATGTTTACTACTGAACTTATTTGGGCTTGCCATAACAAAGGGGTTGAATACTTATTGACTCAAGAAATTTCAGCTTTTCATTTTTTATTAACTTGTAAAAATGACATTATGGGGTATTGTGTAGGTCAGTGAAAAAACATCTCATTTTAATCCATTTTAAATTCAGACTGTAACACCACAAAATGTGGAAAAAGTCAAGGGGTATGAATACTTTCTGAAGGCACTGTATAAGTTTGAGTTACCTTTTTATCGTAGCGTCCTTGGCGGATCATATAACTTTTGTTTGTCCTGTGGTCTTCGTCAATCTGACAGACAAACGGACATAGACAGGAATTAGAAGACGTACTGGAGAATGTGACTTAACTTTGAGATTGCACAATGATGACATGCTTAGGGGTCGCCGCACACTGAAGACAAGCTGACCTTGAGGGAGATCAGGCTATGTTCGTTGTACTCCAGCGGGGTGATGAGGTCAGAGTGGATGTGAGACCATCTCTTCCTCACCTGGCGCTCTCTCCTGTTCTGCCTGGTAACAGATAGCAACACAGTGTAAGAGGTCTCCCTCATAAAAATAGTTATACTTGAATGGGGATTCCTGTTCTAGTAATTTTATTTCTATGGTCACTCTGAACATACCATGATAGATAAAACAACCCTCTGAGGAATCAGGCACCAAAATGGTGAATCTAATTTAAGGTGAATCTATCTTGTGTCTTACCTGTAGAAGATGAAAGCGATGTTAGCTACCACCACCACAGTGACACCTAAGACAATGACAGTGATGTCCTGCACTCTCAGACCTGGAGTGGGGGGCATGATTACGATGAGGAGACCAATAAAATGGACTGCATTAGAACGATACAATTTCTCAATGAGTGTTCAGGCAAGGGGGTAATTGAGGTGATATCACTGTACATTGAAGTTGGATTGTATATTTTAACAGACACTTTTATCCAGAGCTACTTGCTCAAGATCGCTGTGTCGAATCCCCAAGCCATCTAGGTGAATAATCTAGTTGGCTTGGGGTTTCGAAACAGTGACCTTTCGATTACTGACCCAACGCTCTTAACCCCTACGCTACCTGCTGCCCTGATCTCACAACACTGGTTCTTGTCCGATATCTGTCTTATCGATCAGAGGACGATAAACCGAAAATGAAAGACACCAACCATACTGATCACTTATCGCAGGCATTGTGGTGAAATCGTCCATAATGATAAATACAGTGCATTCGGAAAGTATTCAGACTCCTTCACTTTTTCCACATTTTGTTACGTTACAGCCTTATTCTGAAATGGATTCAATTGTTTCCCCCCCCCTCATCAACTACACACAATACAACATAATGACAAAGCAAACGTATTAAAAACAGGATTTTAGAAATTTTTGCTAATGTATTACAAAAAACAGAAATATCACATTTACATAAGTATTCAGACCCTTTACTCAGTACTTTGTTGAAGCACCTTTGGCAGCGATTACAGCCTTGAGTCTTCTTGGGTACAAGCTTGGCACACCTGTATTTGGGGAGTTTCTCCTATTCTTCTCTGCAGGTCCTCTCAAGCTCTGTCAGGTTGAATCAGGAGCGTCGCTGCAAAGCTATTTTCAGGTCTCTCCAGAGATGTTAGATCGGGTTCAAGTCCAGGCTATGGCTGGACCACTCAAGGACATTCAGAGACTTGTCCGAAAGCCACTCCTGCGTTGTCTTGGCTGTGTGCTTAGGGTCATTGTCCTGTTGGAAGGTGAACCTTCGCCCCAGTCAGAGGTCCTGAGCGCGCTGGAGCAGGTTTTCATCAACGATCTCTCTGTACTTTGCGCCGTTCATCTTTCCCTCGATCCTGACTAGTCTCCCAGTCCATGCAGCTGAAAATCATAATAATAATATGATAATATGCCATTTAGCAGACGCTTTTATCCAAAGCGACTTAGAGTCATGCGTGCATAAATTTTGGTGTATGGGTGGTCCCGGGGATCGAACCCACTATGCTGCCGTTACAAGCGCCGTGCTCTACCAGCTGAGCTACAGAGGACCACAGCATGATGCTGCCACTACCATGCTTCACCGTAGGGATGGTGGCAGGTTTCCTCCAGACGTGACGCTTGGCATTCAGGCCAAAAAGTTCAATCTTGGTTTCATCAGACCAGAGAATCTTGTTTCTCATGGCCAGAGTCCTTTCAAGCTTCAACTCCAGCTGGCTTCAT